GGTCGCTTAGGTTACGGGGGAGGGGAAGATATATATATATATGCTGGTTCCCTTATTTTTTTTTTTTATACCCCTCATTTGGGCCCCTGGGGGCCCCTGTCCGCCCCTGCCTCCTGGCCTTCCGCAGTGTGCCCGGTAGAGTTTGCTGTGGCACCGGCCTGCTCCTCCTCCTCCGCCCGGCTCCCCCTCCCTCCCCCTCGGCTCCTCCCAGTCTGTGTGTCAACTCCGTGTCGGGTCACGTTATGTTGGAGCTTGGCTGGCTGCGGAGGCTCGGTGCGCTTCCTTTCCGAACCTGCCTCCACTTCCAGTAAACCCTCGCTCGCAGAGTTTACGGGAAAGCGGAAGAGAGGAGAGAACCGGGCCGGGAATCCTATAAAATAAATAAAATACAAAAAGCCCCGGTGTCGAGGCGCTGCGTCGGACACACGGCTGTAATCTGACCGGAGGAGCTGCGCTCACCGCGGGCTGGATGACGAGCTGCTCCTCGCCTTCATTCTAGGTGCACCGGAGTCGACATGGGAAATTAATAGTTGGTAACGTCTGTTGAAATATACCGTGTGCGTCTCAATACACTGCTTTAATCTCTAATTAACAGCAGACGAGTGTGTGCGTGCGTGCGTGCGCGCGCGCGCGTGGTTCCGTCTCACAGAGGAAGAGTCAATTTTTCTGTTGCAAGTTGTCACTCGCTTTCAAACAGCACAGCATGTATCATCTTGTCGTTTAAATATTTAAGACAGCCATTAGGCTACTTATTATAATTCACGTGAGTACTTTTACTATCACAGACCAATTTGTAAGAATGTATTTTAGGATCTGTCTGCTTTAAAAGCTGAGATTTGATGTACAGAAACCTGAAATACCTGTACTTTAAAGGTACTCTTTGCAAACTATTACATCAAACATTAAAAAGCAAGGGCTTTCCTGAACTACTTGAAATGGATGAGTTTTAAAGAGAATAGTTTCGCAGAGATAAAATTGAAACGCAGGTACTCGCTTAATGTAAACAAAGCTCTTTTATTGCAAATATGAGCATGAATACGTTCCAGTAATTCATTATTGGTAGGCTTTATTAACCCCAAATGGCTTTTTCATGGTTGTAGCCGTTGTCGACTTGTTTTTAGTCATTTCTGCAACAATTATCCAGTACGCTACCGTGTTCCATTTAAAAAGAAAAAGGACTAAACAGTAGTAATAATTGCTACTGTTGAATTAACCATTTACCAGATAAAGCTGATCCAACGACACTAAGGTCCTGAGCGGAGGCAAAATAAATACAATATGATTTCATATCCAAAAGCTAAATTAATAAATTAAAATATATTACTTTTAAATCATGAAAAGTTTTTTACTTCAAGATGGAGGGCTGCTGCTTTTTACAGTAAACCAGCGTTGCTGTATTTTAATTTACAGTGGCCTAATAGTTTCCCAGAATGCATTGTAAGTTTACAGTAAGAATACTGTAACATACTTGTACACTAGTGTGAATGCAGTAATTTAACTTAGACGACTAACAACTCCACAGTAACTTACTGTAAATTGCTTTGACGGTAAAGAACTGTTGGAGAAAATGTTGTTAAAACTAACAAATAATTACAGTGTAGGTAAAACAACATGGCTGCCAGTCACATATTTTGCTTACACATCTTTAGTCTCGCATTAAAACGATTTAGATTACGTTCCTTATGTCATGATTTATTTGAAACAGTCTTCGAGACTTTGTAAGGAATACTTGTACGAAAAATTTCCAAAAGAGTTTTAGATTAAAATAAATGATTCCGATCTAAAAATAAATTTCTAACAATACCAATATATATGTTAAGTAAAAAAAAAAAAAAATCATATTTTAGAAATGTATCATAAAACTTTCAGGAAATGTTCTTTAAAGAAACTTACAGTGATTAGAATAAGATTATTCGGTTACTTATAGACCTTTATTCACACCCAAAATTAAAAAAAAATACTGCTGAATATTATAATGTTATTACCAGTTCAAAACACATTGGCAAAAAAAAAAACAAAGTTTTATATTGACAAATCAAACTGGTTTATTTTTGGAATATAGTTGAACCCATTGCACCTTCAGGAAAATCAAGCAACGTTTGTTGAAGCAAAAAGTTCAAAATAGTGCTTACTTAGCTCAATAAGGACTAAGGAAGGAAACTACTGAGTGACAAGTGGAATTCTGGGTACTTTTCCTATTAATGATCAATGCTTATTCCCATTATTCCAGCCCACTTGCCAAGATTTTTTTGTTTTTCGTTTGTGGTATAGTCCTGCCAGGTAGGAAAATCACAAATTTAGTGGTTGGAACCAAGATTGCAGCTGAGTCGAAGTATAAGGCAAGAACCTTAACTTCCTTTGGGGTTGACTCATCTTTCTGTCCTTTACAGTAAACCGTTTCACAAAGCGTTAAAAGTTCATGAAGTGATTCCTATCTTTGCTCTTTCCTTTAGTCATCGCCCTCAGTTTAACTGAAGTCATGGATGCAAGCTGGAAGAACTGCTTTGAAGAGGAGCTCCTCTGCCCCATCTGTCTGAATGTTTTCGATGAGCCGATCCAGTTGCCGTGCAAGCACAACTTCTGCAAAAGTTGCATCTCTGAGGCCTGGGCCAAAGACAACGCAGCGGTCCGCTGCCCCGAGTGCAACCACGACTACAACCAGAAACCCACACTGGAGAAGAACTTCAAGCTCGCCAGCATCGTGAAGCACTTTAACGCTTTGAACACTGAGAAAGTCCCCGCTGTGCTGCACTGTGTGCTCTGCAGACGGGGCCCGCCGCTGCCTGTGAGGAAAGTGTGCCTGCGCTGCAAAGAGCCCTGTTGCCAAACCCATATCCAGACTCATCTCCAGCAGCCGTGCGCAGCGCCGGGACACCTGTTGGTTGACGTCGAGGAGCTGAGCGCGTGGACCTGTCCCAGTCATGAGGAATACAGGCTGCTGCACTGTGAGGAGGAGCAGGTGGCTCTGTGCGCTTTCTGCTGCATCTCCCACTGCACTAATCAAAGGCACACGGTGTGTGCAGTGGACCAACAACAAGTTCAAATACAGGTACAAAACTTGCATCCACGCCACCACAATTTAGCATCACAAGTGGAGAAAATGGTGTCATAGCTTACAGAGCGCCAAAACTGAAAGGAAAACCTTGACAGCAAAGAGGTGCACTCTGGGTATTTCTTAGAATCTCAAGGCAGATAAGTTTCTTTCACTTCAGTGGCCTTTAAAGATATCCTGACTTTTTCATCTCGACTGATAAGATGGGACCGGACAGGCGAAACTCATCCCTTTTAGGTGGATGAAAGTGTACCAGTGCACACAAACATGCGTACGTCACACGCAGCTTTTAACCTTGATCACACCACCCACTTGAGACCGCCACGCCTTTCCATTAGCAGCGCTGTGCCCTCGGGTAAGTGCAGCCACGCAGTCTGCACCCACCGGAAGTGATGACCCCTGTGCAGCGAGGGAGGATCCACGTGGGGTTTATTTTAGACTCCTACTGTAAATGAGGGTTGTTTCTTTAAAGGAGCATGTTCACTAATCAGCATTTGAGCCACTAAATGCTTTGAAAGTCAGTTCGGGGAATTATTGAGAGAAAGAAGGTAAAGGTGGGAACCGGATGCTACTAATTATATGGCAAGAAATTGGCAACAAGTGAGCAATGGTTTGTTTTGTATCCTGCATAAAGGCTACTGTACATGCATAGCTGTGATGTGTATTTTTCTCCGCTCTGCACTTTGTGTCAGTTCACAAATCTTAACACAAGTTGAAAGGTATCCACCACCCACACTGCTTCATATGCATTTCTTTCACGGCCCTTCCCACTGATGAAGGGATGGAAGTGGGAACCTAATTAGTTGTAGCATCTGCTGTGTTGCTGTCTTGTTGGTGGTCATGGCTTTAGTTCAGACGGGGAGAAGTTTTGGGCACATTTTCTGTTCCAGAGTAGATCACATCAGCTGAAATCCTCGATTCAAATTGTTTCCCTGGTTCGGAGCTATTACCAGGACAAAAGATGTCTGTTCAGCCCTTTCCACAGCTGCTCCCTTTGCACACTTGCATGCACACCCACCCACCCATCTTTCTGTTCTTTCCCCCAACCGTATATTCCCAGGGTAAAACACATCCTGGCTCTTCTCAAATTAACGCAGTTCATGCTCGGGCCCTCACACTCCGAGTGCACTCTCATTTCTGTAGCAGCCAAAAAAGTTGGGCTTCCTCAGCGCTCGGCCGTTTGTTAAAGTAATTTGAGGCCGAAGTGGCTTCTCGTCATTACTTACTGAGAGGTCTTTCTCCTTGACGGAGCTGTGGTCTATTTTGGTAAAAGCATTTTAAATTCCCCTGGCTGCACTCTTGTTGCTTTTGGGACAAACAAAGAAGGGGGGTGGGGGGAAACATAGCAGGAGTGTGTTCATATCTTTTGGTTATTTTTGGCTCTCAGAGGAGATTTTTACAGTAACTTTCCGCACGCTCACTGGTAATTTTAAGATTAGACAGGAAGAGTAATATAACAGTAATGTCATCCCTGGGACAAGCAGAGGAGGAGGACCCCTCCCACACAACCTCACCTTGGTTTTCTCGGGCACCTCTGCAGGAAACCGTCGCCCATGAAGGCTCTGCTGTTTGCATTTTCTTCTGTCTTGGCTGGAGTGAGTCAGTTCTCTAGAATGTTGAGGGCAGCCCATTGACATCAGAAATAGGCAATAGTTGTCAGTTGATTGTGAAAGAGGCTCTCTGTTCATTGAGCTCGAGGCTCCTCATTTAAACATGAGCTTCCTGGCAACCTGCTGGAGTCTGCACGCCTAAATGGGACAGTGCGGAAAGAGATCATTGGCAGATTGAAGCTCGTTAAAGGTGGGCTTTGGTGCTGCCGTGCTATTTTAGACGTAAAGCTAACGAGGTATAAAAGAATAGGAGGAACCATGACTAAAACTACGAAGATATGACTGATGAACTGGAGGGGGGGGGGGGGGGGGCGGCAAAGAAAGGCTGCTGCCATGACGTAAAACCAGCATTTACCATAAGATAACATGTATTTCCTGTTTTGTCTATACAACCTTCACAGAAACTATAAACCGTGGTAATGATTATTACCATTATCAGCTGTTTGTGTAAAACTGTAGAGGTAAAGTCGGTTGTTGTAGGTTGTATCAGGTTGTTTAAAAGTTGTTTTTTAGTCGGAAATATCCTCTTGGAGATGTTGAGATGTGGCTCGTGTGGGTTTTGGTTTAGCCTCTTCCATATTTTTTTTTTTGGCATAAATGCAGCGAATTTATCAGAGATGTGAACATTTGGCAGACGGTCATTGCATCCATGTTTCATAGGATTTACCAGAGGAAACGTTTATTGATCATTTTTACACTCAAAAGCAGTCTAATAAGGCACATGTTTGATTAGCCTACATATGAGTAGGTTTGCATAACAAACATATTAATTTTAGGTTTGTTTAATGAGTTATTTTTGTTGCACAAATCAAATACTAAAAAAATACATTGTTGAATAAAACCGTGATATTTTATTTTATTTATTTTTTACAAAATTGTATTGATCTCTTTCAGGATTAAACATTTGGGTCGTTTCACATCAACTTGGGTTGTGTCCCAAAATAATTTTCAAAATTGGCTCAACTTCTTCAGAGCTTCAAGGTTCTTTATTTGTCATTCGCATCACATGTGGTACACGTGGTGGAACGATTGTGTACACAGGGTCCAGTTACATCCAACAAAAATATAAAATGTAAAAGAAAAACAGTAATAAGATCTAAGATATGAACTAAGTAAAATGTTAACTAAAAATACACTTAGCGCTAGTAGTACAACAGCAGCACGAACATGAGTCTGTGTGAGCAGAACTTCTATTCTACAGGTCGTTCTCAGCCGAACTGGGTTGGTTTTAAATAACCTGTAAATAAACCAATATAGTAAATATTTTTTTCAGTTTAGTAGAAAAATCAAAAGCATCAGACTAGTTAATGGCAGTGGTTTACAAAAACACTCAAGGTCTAGTCAAAATGGGCAAATGAAAAGAGTCAGTGGGACCATCAGTGGGTAATTGAAAATACTCTCCGTCCGTCTGTCTTGTGAGCTGGATAATTTGAAAAATAAGTGAGATACCAATTTTCATTTAGGTGTGTCGCTGTATCTAGATGTAAGAAAGGTCCCCAACAAAAATTGGGTTGCCATATAAAATCCAAGATGGCTGCCGCTATATATATATATATATATATGTGGGTGTGGAACTGGCTGCCCCAATCATTTGGGAAACTATGCTTTATAATTTTTATATTGCTTAAAAGTATTGTTTCCTCAAATAATTGGTTGGTTTGAAAATAAATCTATGGTGGCCAAGGCCACCGTGGGCCACCCCCTGGCTCCAACACTGTGCCGCCTCTGACGAGAAAAAAAAAAACCTACATATATTCTTATTCACAGTGACAAAGTGTAACTACTTCCCATTTGAATGTCTTGCACCAAAAACATCAAGGTTTGCTTGCATTCTCTGTTAAATTCCTGTCCAGAGAAACACTCATCTCAAAAGCTGCAAACATTCACTAATCAAATCCTTTAGCAGCTGGGAACATCGGCATACCAGCTGTTTTTTATTTATTTATTTATTTATTTATTTTTGTCACTGTCACATGGTAGTGACATGAAAAGTTGTTTCCAAATGATACTTTTCCATTTGGGGTGCTTCGTTTGATGCAACACCTACGTCCCACCTCCACGTCTTGGGAAAAAAGACAAAAAACCCCCCGAGAAAAGCAACTCGGAGTGTCCCGGTGGCTGTTAATAGATCATTTTGAATGGATTATAAAAACTGTGGTAATGGGTGAGTTCAGCTTCTCTGTCAGAATCCATGTTGATCCATTAGATCGGTGAAAATGAAGGAATATAAGATCCCCAGCTAGCAGAGTTAGCAGCAGCACATGTCTCTGCACCCAAAGCCTTTGTTTTATTAGAACCCTTCCATCAATTAATGCCTAATAAATAATTTGAAATGTCTTTTTTTTTTTTATATAAAGCTGTGCCGATCAATATATTTTTCCAATTGCCAATGGCTCTGCTGACTGTGTGAAATGTGAGAGGGGTGTAGAAACGAATCCAAAGAGATTTGTCACATGCCTCTGCAGTTTTTCTCCATTCTACAGAACCTTTTCACATCTCTTACATAATTTAGCTGTTTTGATGAATTCACGGTGACTTTACTGATTTTGGACCGCTCTCATCAGCAACATTTCCAACAGGAAGCATTCTGGGCAGTGATGATGCAAAGTTTAATCCAAATTTCTGTTAGTTTGAGTAAAAAAGGAGTAGAAGATACAAAGATTTATCTATTTCTTAAATGTTATAAAAGATAAGTGTATGATGTTTGTTCATAATTAGCTTGCGGGGCTTGTTTACGATCATAGCCACTGTATGTGATGTGAATTTTAAAGCCCGAAAAGCTTCTTCAAATACTCAATAATCCGGTTCTCCTAAGCAGCAGTCTTGTGTTCTCAAAATTAAAGTAATCTAATTCTACACAGCTCGGAAGTGCTATAGGAAAAAAGGGATGTTTATGTAAGAGATCTCTGAGTTTGCAACAAGATTACAAATGGCAGAAAACAGAAAGTTATATTATGGTCTAGAAAACCAATAAAAATGTATTTTAACTGAAAATTAATAATTAAAAACTTTAAGAATATTTACCGTACGTTTCGGACTATAAGGCACATTTAAAATCCTTTAATTTTCTCAAAAATCGACAGTGAGCCTCATGTATTAATTTTGGTTGTGCCTACTGACCTCAAACCAATTTTATGTGGCTATTGTGAATGAGTTGAATAAAGTTTGACTTTTCTGACCGTTTTGTTTCGCTTAATGTGCCTTATAGTCCAAAAAAATACGGTACTGGACTTTGTGGAGATGTTTTCTTCTGTTTTTTATAAATATGACCTTCATGGATGAGTCTCGGGAGGAAAGTGTTTGTTATAAGAAAAATAAATGACTGTAGAAAGAACTGCTTTAGCACGGGGGCAGGTCTATCATAATTTGGGACTGTGTTTCAGACTCCTGGGAAATTTCACGGATAAAGCGACGAAACAATTCAGTTCAATGTAGCTTTGAACAGAAACGCATATTAAACTACGTAAAAAAAAAATAGACGGTGAAAAGATTGTGTTGCTACAGAACAATAAACCTAAAGTCAACTCAGTCACCATAAAAAATTGACAGAATTTAAAGAGGAAGATGCAAAACAACCTTAAAAATCTAAGAATAAACAACTGTTGGGTGAAAATCCCAGATGCAAGAAGTAAAATACAGCTGCTACAAAAAAAAAAAAAAACTTTTACAAGCTGTGATACTTGCCAAAGGCCAATTTTTTCCCCCATTATATTTTTATATACTGTAATAATCTCACCTAAATATGTTGAAATTACTTTTTATACCATGTTTGCTTCATTAAGGCACATCTTTCTAACAGTCTACTTTATAATTCATATCCATCTTGAAGAACATGAGATTTTGATCATTTTTACCGTGTGAAAAACATCAGCTGACTCCAGTAAAAGTAACAGAATAGGCTGTTGTATAGATACATTGAAGTTTTCTCTTTTTTTTTTTTTTTTTTTTTTTGGTCGCCATTTTGAAATTAGTTAAACTGTTTCCTCTGTTTGCTGCAGCATCCCCTGAACATGTGAACAGCTGAAGAGAGCTGTTGCTGAATGTGAAACTCCCTCAAGAGGCTGCAAGAATGTCCTCATTCTCCCCTTTCCTCTTTTTTTTTACTTAAAAGTTGTTCGTTTTTTCTTATGCTTGCACTTTTTTCCTGTCTTTCTGACTTTTTCTGCCTTTGTTTGGCATATGCAACCAGCTCCTTTGCTCTTGTTCCCTTTTTTTCCGGTGAGCGCTCTTGGGAAACGAGGGGGGTAGCGCAGACCCTCACGCCCTGACGTTGTGCACACAGGCATGTCAAACTGTCAATGACACAGAGGCCAGTGTAAACTGTGGGGAGCGATGCATGTGGCAAAATGAAAAATAAATAAAAAAGATAGGACGTGGTGCCTTTATGCTCCCTCACATACAAAGTAGCTGACATATACATAGACTGGGCTTTGTTGCCATGGCAGCGGGGGTTTTCTTATGCGGGCACGGTTCCCATGAAGAAACTGTTTATTAAAAAGTGTTCCTGACCTCCCGTGTTCATAGTTGGCTGTCAGTTTGTGACTTCAGATTGATTTTTATCCCCTGCTGTAATGTAGGACGTTTACATTGCTGGCTCTTTTCTGTCCTTTGACAACTACACATCACACTTAATGTTGCATGGTTCCTGACAAACTTAGCAGCAATCAGACACGCTTTTGTGTAACCGTGTTTGCCTTTACTGGTATACCCACACGTGCACCCAAATGGGTACATGTTTGTCGCCGGCAGCTGTCGTTTCCTTTGTTTAATCAGAGTTGTGGAGGAAGTGGCGAGTAGCAGCCTGCTAGAGGTCACACAGCAGTCTGGGTTTATTCTGCCTTTGTGCTTTTAGTGTATCTTGTTGTGGTTCAACTGCCTAATCTGTGCCATCTCTTCACAGGCCATGCTAATGAGTCAACAAGACAAACTGGATCGTCGTGTTCAGAACATCGAGGGGCAGCTCAGCAAGCTGGAGTCAGACAAGACCCTCATGAAGGTAAAGTGCAGCTTTGCAGATCGTCTTTTTCCTCCACTTAGCTAAAGTTTTTGTCTGATGTGTTTGAGTAACTCCATCGTTTTCACTCTGGGGAAATTAAAAGTAAAACTCTGCAGCTCTGAGTGGCTTCTACATTATTGGATAAATGTATGTTGTTTGGTAAACTAGCCCTCTGTTTAACACTGTACTTTTCTGGGCACATGTTCTCGTGTGTGACCGTCTTTTCTCCACAGGAGGCTGTCTCTGAGCTGAAGGAGCGAGTCAGGGCGCAGTATCAGAGGATGCATGCGCTGCTAGAAGCGAACCAAGCGGAGGCCGTGCAGATGCTGGAGAGCGTTTACATCAAATACGTGAGGAAGAACTCCCAGCAGGCTCTGCTGCTCAACGAGAAGCGGCAGGAAGCAGAAAAACTCCTGAGCTCCGTCCACATGTTCCTCCAAAGAACAGAGAGTATAAACTCCATGAAGGTGCAAATGAGCTCTTTTTGTCATTTTTCATTTCTTCTGCATAAACAGTGTTTCTACAGTGTTTACATCTGCAGAGTCAAAGCTTTGCCTTTACATTCTGAAAAGAGCATAAAACTAGAGAAACTGCATTTGTTTCTGAACGTTGAGTGCTGAAATACTTTAATGAAGTTTGTTGAAGAAGCTGAAACTGAGTTGTTAAAACTTAAAAAGAGCAAACGTTAACTAAAAGTTGCCAAAGGTGAGCTAAAAGCTTAAAGTAGCAGAACAGTAGCTACAAGCTAAAAGTTGCAAAAGACTTGCTTAAAGCTAAAAGCAGTAGAACAGTAGGTAAAAGCTAAAAGAACAAAACACTGCCTAAAAGTAGTGAAAGCCTTGCTAAAAGCAGAAAGTAGTAAAACAGAAGCTAAAAGTAGCAAAGGTGATGCTAAACGTAGCTAAAAGTGGCATTAGGAGACAAGAACAGGGGTGTTAAAAGGAGCAGAATGTTAGCGAAAAACTAAAAGAAGCAAAACATTAGCTAAAAGTAGTGCAAGACCTGCTAAAAGCTAAAAATGTTAAAACAGTAGTTAAAATGTAAAAGTAGTAAAAGTCAAGCTAGAAGCTAAAAGTAGCAAAGGTGTTGCTAAAAGCTAAAAGTAGCTGATTGGTAGCTAAAAGTGGCATAAGGAGACAAGAGTGAAGGTTTTAAAGCTAAAAGGAGCAGAATGCTAGCTAAAAGCTAAAAGAAGCAGAACAGTAGCTAAAAATAGTGAAAGGCTTGATAAAAGCCAAAAGTAGTAAAACACTAGCAAAAAGGTAAAAGTAGTAAAAGGCTAGCTCGAAATTAAAAGTAGCAAAATTCTAGCTAAAAGCAGCTAAAAGTGGCATTAGGAGACAAGAACAGAGGTGTTAAAACTAAAAGGAGAAGAATGTTAGTGAAAAGCTAAAAGAAGCAAAACATTAGCTAAAAGTAGTGCAAGACCTGCTAAAAGCTAAAAATAGTAAAACAGCAGCTAAAAGTAATAAAAAGGTCAGCTACAAGCTTAAAATAGCAAAAGTTTGGCTAAAAATAAAAAGTAGCTGAGTGGTACCTAAGCATCATAAAAAGACAAAAATAGGATGGGGATGCTGAAGTGGATCTCAGAGAGAACAACGGTTTTGCAGGAATTAAAGAGGTCTTAATGTATTTATATAGAGAAAATAATTGTAAATAAAGTTAAATATTTTAAATAGTATAAAGGTTACAAAAAAACAAAAGTCACAGCACCTATCTCCTGAATGAGCTGAACAGCTGAATATGTGAATGGCTAAAATAGCACAAATATGCAAAAGTAGTTTCAAAAATATACAAAAAAACCCCAACAAACAGGAAAACCCAGACCCGTGTGGAACTTCAGTATTTGCAGTCTTCTGGTCTCCTCAGTGTTTGTGAGATCTCTGAAGACAAACCATGTGTTTAGTGACTCATATATCTTATTGTCTGTTTCAGAACACAAAACCTTACCAGCTGCTAATGGACAGGTAAGCCTCTTCACAGGAAAGCTGTTCTTATACACCTGTTTAATTATTCACCTGTTTAAAAATCAGCTGCGTGAAACCTTTAGATAAATGTTTTGATATGAATCTCTTCTTGTTCACATCAACTTGTTGAAAAATGTATATCGATCATAAAGAGGGGCATTTATTTCAGCTACTAACTGGACATGATTAGCCTGATAAATCTTATATTTACTAGAAACAGTGGGAACACAGATTTATACATGTCACTGTATATATGGTAAATACTGTCCTGCTATTTTAAATTTATGAAAATCTCCCTCAGTTTGATTTATTAAGTCAGATTTTAAATTCAGCATAACCAAATAAGGCATGTTTTCAGTCACTTGTCCTTCAACCAGTGAACTGCAAAATGGAGAACATTACTTTTGTACATTTAATTTTTTTTTATATGAGTAATAAAAATAGTTATTTACTGAATGTCTGTTCCTAAAAAAAATCAAATAAATGAATTTATTTACTTGAGTAAAGATGGTTAAAGCATGTAGCTTCGGTGTTCTTCAATATAAAGTTCAAGTCCAAACGACAGATTTTATGAAAAAAATTGCTTTTGATCCTAACATTTATTTTTGTTTTGCTTAAATAAAAGCAGATATCTCAAAGTTTTAGTTCCCAAACTCCTTTTTAAAGAGAAATAAGAAGATCTGTGGTCGTATTCTGAAATCTTCTCTGAATCCTCTCACAACCAAAAAAATAAAATAAATAAAAGAGACAGGGCTAACTTGTTGGCTCAGTATAAAAAACTTTTTGAAGATTTTAACTATATTTATTTTACCTACAAGTTAATCACACTAATAAGCATACTGATCTCAAAGAGAAGTCAGAGTCATGCTCAGGAATGCTGTGACGTGCTGAAGATCAAATCCAAAATCATCCAACTGAAGGATATCTGGAGAATCTTTATTGTCCATCACCAAAAAGCAAAACATGGATGATTTGCTGTGGTAGCAAATGAGAGTGATCCCCTATACCAGGGTGTCCAAAGTGTGGCCCGAGGGCCATTTGCGGCCCTTGGAGTGATTTTGTGCGGCCCACAATTGCAATTAAAGAATGATACGTGTATAATTTTGACCCATAGACTTAAGAGATTGATGCAGAAGTAGACCTTTTTTTAGATTTAATGCTGATAAACAGATGAAAATAATCTTCTTAAAATGAGCGACATTAAGTACAATACAAATATTTAGCTATAATTAATCCCTTTAACCTACAACAAACCTTCACTGACCTTTCAAAAAGTAGAATTTTGGATAATAATTCATAAAACTTGGCCAAACGTAAGTGTTTTCAAAGAAAATAATTTCAATTGATTAAATAATCGATGGGTAGAAATTGGACATTTAAAAAATATATATTATTAAGTCTTATTGACATACAAGTTGATCAACTTTATCAGTGTCCCTTCAAACCTTCCATGAATCTGTTTTAGCGACTGGACAGTTTTTCAGAACTTCGATGACCCGTTCGGGCCGTCCATGGTCCAGACGGGCGATTGAAGCTCCACCCCCTTTTTTAAAGAGCAGTTACTCATGAAAATAAACAAAAATTAACTTTCCGAGCACAAGAAAACAAAATCTAATCAATTAAATTATTTAAATAATTAAATGAATAAATAAATAAAAAGTTAATGTTTATGAGGCCCCTAATGTTCTAGATCTACAATAATTTGAACTAAACTTTTAGTCTTTCTCCAAAATATTGTTCAAGTTGTTGAGAGTTTTAAAAAATGGGGGGGGGGGGGGGGTTGTTATCACACGTTTTATTTATTTATATTTTTATTAAATTCATTTTTTTTCTGGCCCACAAGTCTTTTCATCTAGACAGTTCTGGCCCACCTATGAAAACATTTGGACACCACTGCCCTACACATACTTTGAGCACTAACCGTTAATGTAAGATCTTTGTTTACAACTCCGCCATTAACTAGAGACGTCATCCATTCCTGTCTGTTAGCAAAAAATAAACCAATAGACAAATGATAATGAAACTTTCATAAAACAATCATTAGATATACGTGTTTAACTGATTAACTTTTGGAGTCAAACTACCGTATTTTTCGGACTATAAGGCGCACCGGATTATAAGGCGCGTTAAGCAAAACTAAAACATTTTGACAAATTTTTGAGCTCCGTGTACCACATAAAATTGGTTTGAGGTCAGTAAGCACAACTAAAATTAATACATAAAGTGCACTGGATTATAAGGCTTACTGTTAATTTTTGAGAAAATTTAAGGATTTTAAGTGCGCCTTATAGTCTGAAAAATACGGTAATTCAAGATGGTCGCTACAGTCGACTGACTTTAGAAAGCACAAAAATGGCCACGCCTCTGTCAGCTTTACAGACATTGTGGTACAATTGGGTGTGGTAGTAGGTGAGAGTCACTCCCAGTTCATAATCTAAGGGTTGACAGCTCACACAAGATCTTGCAGTATCACGTGAAATGGCGTGTTACGTTTTATTTTATTTTTTCAAGTTTTGACCAAAACATCAAAAAATGCTGTAATTTCTCAACGTAAGATAATCTTAGTTTGACTCTCAATCCAAAGCATTATCTTAATATTATTGTATGGTATTTTAAGTTTTATTATTTTTATATTTATAAATGTGAATGAGTAACACTGTAAGATGCTTTGATTTTATTTACTGAGCTAAAGAGAGCCTATACACCCTCCCCCATTAAATACAATATAGTCTTTTTTTTATTTAAAATAACTTTTTTTTATAAACTAAGTCCAATATTTGCCCCTTTTAGACTCAAATGTGGATTTTGAAACTCACTGAGTTTGTAGACTAGCTGGTTTTCTTCTCCAAACAGCTTGATTGTGGACTTAGTTGCACTTGTGTGTCTCGTTTTAGGTCAAACTTACACCTAAGTGGTGCCATCCCCCCACTCAGGGTGGGCCAGCTCAACTCTCACTATTTCCTCTCCGACCTTTTAACGAGGGAGAAGAACTTGAGAAAAATGCTTGAAGGTAAGAAAGAAAAATAGCGAAATGACAGAATAGCGATATAAAGCTGGTCAGAATTAAATATATCTTTTTTTCTTTCTCATCAACCATCACCGTCAAACCCAACATTTTTCATTGTCAGAACCGTTGAATGAAGCGCCTGTTCTTGAGATTGTCCAGTCTCACAGCAGCTCTGCTGACTCCCAGCTGGGAGCAAGTTCAGGACTACACAAGAGAAAATACAGCATGGCTTTCCTGGAGAGTAACTCTGAAAACTCCAACTCCCAGAATCCTCAGCCTTTGCTCTACGGCAGCAAAAAGGCCTTCATGACGGATCAAACTCACCATGCCTCGTCTGTGTATTCCTCAGAAGTCCTCCCCCAGAATCCTCACCCCTCCAGTCGCCTCTTGGACTCGGCAGCCCATCACATGGTGGGTCTGGGTTCTAGCTCAAGCCACCACTCAGGAAACTTATTCCCGTCCTCTCACTTTCCCGGTGGAGGACCCTCGCAACAAGCCATGTACGAAGGGAGAAAAGTATTGATGTGCACTCTGAATAACTGCTGCTGCTCCAGAGCCCCCGCTGCTCGCACCCAGCCTCCGTACCCGGCGTCGGACTCCTTCCCCTCCATGGCCTCTCAGGAGTTTCCCCCACACGGCCCGCTTCCTGCAACTCAACCATTGCAGCATTTTCCCATGAGGGGGCTGATGGAGGCATCGCAGACCGCCAGGCACGCCGATTTCTACGGCCTGTACGGCCAATCCTCAACCAAGCATTACGGGACCAAGTGACAAACCTCAATCAGTGCTGGTTCTGTTACAGCATCAAAACTGGTTTCAAGATTTTTATATAATCTTTTTTTTTTTTTTTCAAATCATGTCGCTAACAGTCCGTTATGACTTATTTTGTCTGTTTAACAGCACTTACTGATCACAACAACACTAATAATGCTCAAAACATACTGTAACGTTGCCATTTTAATTTATTTTTCATGTCAGTGAAGTACTAATGAAATATTTTAGTCTTAAATCCATTTGAGTCCTGATTAAAGAAGTGACACGTCCTCCATCTTTGGGATTTTAGTGCCTAAAAAGACTGTTAAACACTCTTACTGTACTTGCAGTTTCTTAGCTTTCGGCTACTTCCTGTTTGCAGCTGGAATCATGCTGGCACTCAAAAGTCCGCGCAGCCTAAGGAAAAAAAACATTTGTCTCCAAATGCTTGGCAGTTTTTCATGTATTTTTTATAGAAAGCATATGAATAAACCAAAAGACGTTGAATAAATAAGGATATTAAAACTCATTTCTTGTGTTTTAGGCTGTAATTTAGCATCTTCTTGTACATTGTTGTCCTATAGCTTGTAAAATGGGACAAAAGACTGAATGGCCACTTGTTAGAGATGTACTGTGTATCTCAGAACACGGCAAAGGAGGTTTAAACAATGATTTGTTACAGCGCGTCCCGCAGCAGACCCATTATCTGCCAATTTGGGACAGTTCACTTCCTTGTCAACATCCTGGTCTCTGGCAAAAACTCTCTGTCTCATCCCTCTTTGTCTCATTATTGGAGCTGGTTGTCAGGTTAGGTCAGAGAACAGGAATAACTGATGAGCAGCGCCTCCTCCCTCTCCGCTCCTCCCCCACCTCTCCTCCCTTCCTCTCTCGGGGTATCATTTGCCAGGCCTGGAAACGGATGAGGAGGGTCGGAGCTGCAGATGATATAAGTGCAGAGTTTTAATGAGGGCTGGGATTGCAGAGTCATCTACTTATCTGTCACTCATGCTCCTTTCACCGTGCCCCCTCCCCCACAATAGGATGGCAAGCGAGCTGGGGGGCAAAGCTTGAAAAGAGAATAGCGAAGGGTCGTGGCGAAGCGAGCGAGGCTTATAATTTATTTATTGGACATAAAATCTGCCCTTCCTCCTGATTTATTTTTATTTATCATTACATTAGTTCATTTTTGGTCCAGCATTCCTATCGTTTCCAGAGAATCTGCAGCCAGAAAAAAAAAAGAGGTGAGGTTTAATAACAACATAGCAATCTGATATGTGTCAGCTGAATAACATTATTATTTCTCAAATAAACCCTAAAGCAGAAAATCCGAAGGAGGTCAAACCAATAATTAATCAACTAAAACGTCACATCAGGCACTTAAATGTAAAATATTTCAAGTCACATTCATCTTACGGATCTATTTTATTAGTGCAAAGTTTACAATGGAAGGGAAATCCTTAAAAAAAGTATTATTATTATTTCAGTGTTGTCTTGTTTTACTGGTAAACGTGTGCTCAGGTGTGTGTGCACAGTCTGTTTTAAGGCTCAGTGAGTGTGTGTGTGCTCAGTCAGGTTATGTTGAAGGTAAAGGGCGACGCTCCCGACAGCTGCGCTCTGTTGTGTGTGAGCTGTGTGTGTGTACGAGTACAACACGACCCTGCCTACAGCAGCGCATGGCCCACTGGGGTGTGTGTGTGTGTGTGTGTGTGTGTGCGTGCAGCTGTTGTTTGTATGCTTTTGTCAAAGGTTCAGGAAATTAAGGAGTAAAAGGTGGGAGCCACTTTTTATTTTGTCTCATCAACGAGTTCCAGCATTTATCATTAATTTAAATATTCCACTTAATATTTTACATCATTCAGTCTTGTTCGCGTTAATGTTTGCGACGTCAGACATTATGATAGGTTCTTTGATGATTTTATTTGAGCAACAAATCTGGTGTTGACAAAACTAAATATGAGTGTCAAGGTTCATGCTCAATAATCCAGGTAAAAAAAAATCCAACAAAGTTCAGTCAGGTCATCTGGACAGTTTCTCTTTTTGTTGAGACGCTTCAACCTTCATCCAAAGGACTTCATCAGTACGATTACTGAGCATGAGCTTTGATATTATGAACCACTTTGGCTATGGCTGCCTCAGGAGAGTCAATGGGAGAGAGGGCGGGCCCCAGAATCCATCTTATCACCAGCAAACTGGTTGGCCCACTGTGTGAGTGTGCTGCTTGCGGGACTGAGACTGATGAAGTCCTTTGGATGAAGGACGAAACGTCTCAACAACAACAAAAAAGAGACCGTTCATATGACCAGACTTAACTTTTTTTCAATATGAGTGTTTTATAGAAACACCATCACTTTTCAAACATAAAACTAAAACATTTTTTCATTATTAATTAAAAAAAAAAAAGGTTAAATGGTGTCATCTGGACCAGTTTCTTTAAGTGAGAAATGTTTTGTCCCCCATCCAGAGGACTTCCACAGTCTACAGCCTGCCAACCAGATGTGCCCCACAGGTAGTCTTCATTGCTGTGTTTCAAGCCAACGTCCTGTTGGAATCTCAAAAGTAGGTTTTAACACGTGCAAAGCACACCCATCCAAAACAATCAGTCATCATGTACAACAATCAAATGTTTTAGGCCAGATGGCCGACTTGCTACTCACAGAAACAGCCTGAGGAAACTGAAGGCTACCTATGGGACAGATCTGGTTGGCAGGCCGTAGACTGAGGAAGTCCTCTGGATGGGGGATGAAATGTTTCACATTTAAAGAAACTGGTACAGATGACACGATTTAACCTTTTTTATTATCTACCTGGATGATTGAGCTTACAACCCTTTTTTCATTATTCAACCGTAAGTGAAGACAAAATGAAATAGCTTTTGTGTGAAATCAAAATTTTAATTTTACATACCACTTGCTTTGCTAGTTTGCACATCTTGAAGTTAGTTCTTGACCTTTTTTGCCATAAATCTGCCAGGAGCTGCAGAAAAATTTGCCCTCATGACTAAAAAGGACACATTTATTCCACAAACCGTGGATTTATGTGACACGTTTCTTTGCAAACCTGGCTTCATTTATTTCAGTTCAAACCATTTTCACTTTATCGCAGGAAAGGATCTCGCATGATGCTACCACTGCCGTGTTTTCCCATTAACAATAGAAAAAGCACCGTTTTAGTAGTTCAACAAACTCCTTTTTGACTCAACCGTATTTTCATCTTTGTAGTTTAATGACTTTAAAGATTTAAAACCCATTCAAACTGCAAAACATCTTATTCCAGGATGAACTGAAGTGCATAAAACAAATATTAAGATCGTCTGATTCGTCTCCTCTGGGAGCCCCCTGAGGATGATGCCTGAAAAGGAGAAAAATAGGAGTAAATTAATGGATACTGAGATGGTTGAAAGAGGCGAGGACGAGCTGAAGTGTGGAAATGAATGTATGAGTGGGAGACAGAATGAGTGGTGGGATAAAGGAGAGGATGAGTGGGGGTGTGAAGAGAACGAGACAACGAGTGTTGGAAGGGTGGCAAACTCCATTACTGAGTTCTCCTGGGAACACTCAGAGCCTTTCTTTTTTGCTTTCCCCTAAGCGCCAGCAGGTTATTTATCACTGAAGTTTTTATGCTGACATGCAGCGTGAACTGTGGAGCCTTATGTACACAGGTGTGGGCCTTTTCAGAGCCACGTGTGAACTCATTGTGTTAGAGATGGCCTCTCCATAAAGACACTTAAAGCAAATAGGCTGCATGTATTTTGGATTGCAACAGTGATTATTTTTGTTTGCCAAAGAAAGTGAGCCGAAAATGTACGATTTTATGCTTTAAGGTAATCCTTCAGCTCTGCAAAGTGCACTAAACCAACGGTAAATAAAAGCAGATGTTGAATATAAGCTAAAGTTTGTTGGAAGGTGACACTTTCTCTGCAAGTCAGATTTTCAATCAATGTTATTGACATAGGTGCAGTCCGTTTGCACAGCTTGCAGGTTGTGCAGCTGTCGACCGGGTTTAGCAACGGATAGTAGGAGTGGTTGACACTAAAGCATTACAGTACAGTTCATAGTAAGGATGCACACACACACATGCACACACACGCACGCACACAACCCTCCCAGTAACAATGGCAGGACCACGGACATAAACGGCATAATGCATACCGAGTGGCTATTCATCAACCATTCAGGATTATAACCTTCATCTGATAACGCCTTTGAAATGTGTGCCAAAACTTTAATCCAGAATAGCTACACACACACACACACACACACACGGAGGGCACAAACATCAAAGGCAAAAGATCCATGGCCAACATTTATTGATCTTCAGGCCTATTTTTACTCGTGGAAATCATTTGTAACATGAAGCGGTCCTCCGTCACGTTCCAGCTAAACGGAAACAGGCAACTTTAAAACAATGTGGATAAATGAAACGAGCAGGAGGAGGAGAGAGCAGGTCAACTGAGCCAGCTCGAGATGAGCAGGTACCACGTGAATTATTATAAGAGCTGACACTTCAAGATCTATTCCCAGGATAAATGCGCATCCTGTGAGCTATTAAGTCTGAGTAAACCTGATTAACTAAATACACATTTGGGATTCTGTTTATCGTAGGGCACAGATACAGATGTAACCTCTACGAGAATAAGAGGACACAAACATAGGTCCATAAAAATCCTCCCAGTAAAAGTAGTATAAACATTTCCCAAATCCCTACTGCACGCCAGCTGGATGCGGTTTATGAGTCAGAAAATTAGAAGCAGCAGCACCTGCTCTCGGTGAAGGTGACATTAATTAGCTGGAGGATTGTTGCACATTGATCTGCAACTCGTCACATGACTCCAGCCGTGTGTGTGTGTGTGATTCAGTGGTGGGGGAGATGCTTGGCACAAGAAGTTGCAGCGTTCTGTTAAATCAAATGAGTGGACGGTCATTTCCACACATCTTCAGTGTGATTCAGAGGACCGGGCACCCCTCCTCCTCCTGTTCTGCAGGTCTACAGCTGAACCTTTTACTGTAAAGTGTTGCTCATTGTCAGCAGGGAGAAACAGTTTTAGATTGACCAAAGAACTTCCCCTTTTTCTTGTGCTCTTCCTGTATTTACTTCAACTTTTCCTTCGTTGTCGACTCATTCTTCTCACATATGTAATTCAAACTGCAGCTTGGCTACTTCTGATTGGAAATTGGTTTATTGGCATTTATACTCCATGGAAGCTCTCATTAGGTTTTGACTTCTTCTAAAAGCCATTTTAAATTTAAAAGGTCTAGTATTCCTTATTGTGTGAATGCTAATTAGGCATTCACACTATTGTATCGTGATCCTGTTTATATTTTTCTTATAGTTAATATCCCTATTCCGTATGTTTTATGGCATCTATCGCATCCCACAGTTGTCAAGTTATGTCAACAGTTCATGTATCAAAAAGTTCAGCTCCTTCAGGAGAAGGGTGCTGTCTTTTCGTATTGCTGCAGCTTTAGCTTTTGGTCATATTTAGCCTTTTCTACCATTTTTTCCTCATAAAAATGAATTGAGCTCATTTTACATCCTTCAGATCTTTAGATCTGTTTGTGTTTCCAAGCTTTTACTGCTACTTTCACATTTTGTTCTGGTTCAGCTTCCTTGCTTAAATTTGTTTTTTCCAGCTACTTTGAGCTAATTTTAGCTGGGGTTTTTTTTAGCTGTTTTGTGCTTTTTTCAGATTCTTAACTATAACATTTTTTGTGCTTCTTTAACTTCTTTCTGCTAATTTCAGCTTGTTATGCTCCTTTCAGCTCATTTCTGCAAGTTTTAGCCTTTTTTTTTGCTATTTCAGCTACTTAGCTAATTTTAGTTTTTCCAGCTAATTTTACATTTTTTGCACTTATTTCAACCTTTTATCAGCCTAATTCAGCAAAACGATGTTCTCTCAACTTCCTTCTGGCAATTTAAGCTTCTTTCTGGTTTTTTAGCTACTATTCAGCTGGCTTTTTTCAGCTTTTTTCAGATAATTTCCACATTTTGTGCTCATTTCTGCTTCTTTCAGCCTAATTGGCGCAATTGTACTCCCTCCATTTCCTTCTGGTAATTTAGGCTTTTCTGCCATTTCAGTTATTTTAGCTAATTTAATCATTTTTGAGCTAATTTCTGCTTATTTAAACCAAATTTAGTAAATGTGTTCTTTCTGCTTTCTTCTGCTAACTTGGGCTTGTTCTTCCATTTCAGGTTTCAGAATGTTTTTAACCAATTTCAGCTGTTTTTCAGCAAGTTCTTCAGCAACAAAGCATTCACACTGCATTTTTGCAGGTAGTACTGCATGTTGTCTGCTGCCAATCAAGAGTTTTAAAATCAAACCCAGCTTCTGTTAAGAAATGACTAAATTTGACAAATCCCTTTTTGTTTTCAGAATTAAGATTCAGGAAATTTGAAGATTTAAAAAATACAGAATACAAAACCGATGTCCTTCCAAAAGGTTAAAGGGACATTATTTTATCTACACCCCTCTAAGAGGACATTACTCTCTCTTGGTTAGTTCTGGTGCAAATAAATATTTCTATTCAGGTTTTTAGGCACTCACCTATAAAACCATATATTTGTTTAATTTTGGTAAAAATGCTAAATATACTACAACTTGGAAAAAAGGTGTCTTATTTAATAGAAATGATTGAACATTATTACAAATTGGTATTATTTATACAGACCAACTGTGGACCCTGAAGTGGGAAAGATTAATGAGGGTGAAGTCTGGAAAGCTCTGAAAAGAATGAAGAAGGGGACGACAGTAGGACCCGATGACAAACCAGTGGAAGAAAATGTCTTGGAGAGATGGCAGTGAGGTTTTTTTAGGGTGATGTACAGAGTTGTAGCAACTACAGGGGAATTAAGTTGATGAGCCACACGATGAAGATCTGGGAGAGAGTTGTGGAAGCAAGACTTAGACGAGAAGTGACTATTTGTGAGCAGCAGTATGGTTTCATGTTGAGAAAGAGCACCGCAGATGCCATCTTTGCTTTGAAGATGCTGATAGAGAAGTACAGAGAGAGTCAGAAAGAACTCCATTGTGTCTTTGTGGAATTAGAAAAAACATATGACAAAGTGCCAAGAGAGGAGGTGTGGTATTGCACGAGGAAATCTGGAGTGTCAGAAAAGTATGTTAGACTGGTACAGGACATGTATGAGGACAGCAGGACAGTGGTGAAATGTGCTGTAAAAGTGACAGATAGCTTCAAGGTGGAGGTGGGATTGCATCAAGGATCGGCTCTGAGCCCCTTCTTGTTTGCGCTGGTGATGCACCAACTAACAGATGAGGTCAGGCAGGAATCCCCGTGGACTATGATGTTTGCAGACGACATTGTGATCTGTGGTGAGAACAGGGAACAGGTGGAAGAGAACTTGGAGAAGTGGAGGTATGCACTTGAAAGAAGAGGAATGAAAGTCAGCCATAAGACAGAATGAGTGTGAATGAGGGGGAGACAGGTGGAACAGTGAGGCTACGAGAAGCAGAGGTCACAAAGGTGCAGGACTTTAAGTACTTGGGGTCCACTGTCCAGGAAATTGGGGAATGTGGTAAATAAGTGAAAAAGAGAGTCCAGGCAGGATGGAGTGGATGGAGAAAAGTTTCAGGAGTGATTTGTGACAAAAAGGTGTCAGCAACGGTCAAAGGAAAAGTTTACAAGACAGTGGTGAGACCAGCTATGTTGTATGGTCTGGAGACAGTGGCATTGACAAAAAGACAGGAGAAAGAACTGGAAGTGGCAGAAATGAAGATGCTAAGGTTCTCCTTAGGAGTGACAAGGATGGATAAGATTAGGAATGAGATAATCAGAGGTACAGCACAGATTGAACTGGTAAAGTTAGAGGCCAGACTGGGATGGTTTGGACATGTCCAGAGGAGTGACAGTGGGTATACTGGTAAAAGGATGTTAGAAATGCAGCTGCCAGGAAAAAGACAAAGAGGAGATATATGGATGCAGTTAGAGGACACGGAGGTAGATGGAGTGAGGACAGAGGATGCGGAGGACAGAGTGATGTGGAGCAGGATGATCTGCTATGGAGACCCCTGAAGAAGGAAAAGCTGAAAGGATAAAGGTATTTATAGACGATCCACAGGTAACATGCTAGCATACAGGTATTGAAGTGCTTGTCCGAGCTGCAAAATGCCCATACAGTTCTAGAAACTTGCACATCAAATGGAACTCCGTTCAATGTAAAGATTTTCTTGTTTAGCAGTCAGTATATATTTTTTTTGTGCAGTGTTCCAGGTCAAATCTGCCTCCTTTCTATGGAAACTTGATTTTAGCTCGACCCACGTGGGTCAAAAAAAGAAAATTATGCAGAATGAATCTCACCTTTATCATTTTTTATAGGACGCCAGTGACAAAGTTTAGAGAATCTGTCACAACTACCTGCTTCCCCACCATCAAGTTTTAACCAGGAGGTGAACCTGGCTGGCTTTTGAAAACAAACTTAAACAGTAATTTAGCGACCATCATATTGCTGCACTGTCCTCCTGTGACTCACAAAATAGTTTCAAAATCCTACTGCTGCATGAAACTTAAATACCTGTTTTACTTGAATTTCTTAAAGCATCCACACCTCTTATGTCACCTGAAACAATCCTCTTAATAAACACAAGTGCAGTTTTTACTTTAAATGCTCAAAACTTCCACACAACTTTCAACTCCTGCAAACTGGACTGAATGACCGTAAAGAACATTAGAAGCACGTAAAAATGATCACATGCATGAGGGAGAATTATTTATTATTAAAGATAAAGATTAGAAAAATTTCAATAAAAGCTATTTTCTTGATGCATTTAGAAACATCAAGGACTTGGAACATTTAAACACTTTGCAACAACTGGAAAAGAAAGAAAACAAATGGTGAACGTTTAATTAACGGTATAAAAATCGTCTGCGTCATTCAGCTCAAATCTATTTTTGAACAATGATTTTTAACTGTGAAAACTTCCACAAATTGATGTTAAAAAGCGTGTCTTTCCACCGCTGATGGTGCAGTAAAAGCTGAGAGTGGGGACTGCATCACAAACTTACAAAACAGTGAATAGTTTCATACCAAAAACAAGGTTTTATACAAACACTTTAAACGTATTACGCACAGATGATGGGCTTGCTGTGTGGAACAGGGAGGCGAGTACATGAAAGCCAGCTGCGTGTTTAGCTGCCGCCACACTGAGCTCTCGCAGCGCCGTGTGGAACTAAAAGTTGTCAAATCTGTCCACGTGGTACAAAAAGACGCGTCATTTTTTTTTATATATATATATCTCGACAAGTAATCCACCACAAAAACTTCCATCAGGCACATTTCAGTCTACTGGTTCTGCTTCTTCTTTGCTGGTTTTATAGCAGGCATCTCTTCCTCCTCCTCTTCCTCTTCTTCGACTTCTTCTTCGTCCTCAGAAAGTTCAGTCTTCATCTTGTGAGGCTGACAAAACCAAAGCGACAACTTTAAGTTAAAACTGAATCTTAGGGTGAAAAACAAAATACACAGATTTTTAAATCTACTAGATTAAATTCTTCAAACATAAAAATGATTTTTGACTTTGTTTAATCTAAAAGTCTGACCTGCATATTTTTGCTTCTCTTTTAGTGGCACACGCACACGCACGCACACACACACAGACAGGTCCAACAACACAGATGTGTCGGTGTGTGTATTACTTTAAGAAAACCGTGATCGATACAGCTGTTGTGTCGTACGGCAGTGAGGCGCGAGGCTGTGTTGATCAGGATGGGAAACATCTGCATTTGTGCCGAATGGGGGAGAAGACTGTGCAGTTATTGGACCTGCGTTGCCGAGTTTTGGAATGGATAATTTGGAGCCATCGAGAAAGAGAAAACTAATCATTTTTAATTGATGACGCCAAATAAGGTAAATGTTGATCATTTCCTTTCTTCACTTTTGTTCAGTTTCTGTTTAACTGAATTTCAATTCCTTTCTGAATAATTCCTCATTTATTTTTTTTAACATGAATAAATGTAGTTTTTTTCTTGTTGTAAACTTACCACTACATTGCTGAAAGCCATAAAATGTGTACATAAATGTCAGGGATGCAACACTTCCCACTGACCATTACTGCTGAAAGAATGGTGCAAACAGGCCTGTCATGATAACAAATGTTGCTGGGCGATTAATTGTCTCAGAAATTATTGCGATAAACGATAATACAGTTTGAAATTTGACAATAATTAGTAATTATTGTCAAATTTAAGAAGGAATGTTTAATTTGTTTTGCATGTAGTACCGTTTTTTGACCACCAGATGGCAATATAAGACTGAACCGAAGGATGGATAGCGAGGGAGTGAGCAACGCGTCTCTAAGAAAATTGGGAGGGAGGCCCCTTGACGTGACATGGACCGTCTCTTCGGTTCTCAAAATGGCGGATGCTCTTGTGGTTTGAGCTCTTTAGCATAGCATTTTCACACAAAGCTTTTAACATATATATTTTTTTAAATCAGTAAACAAGTTCTCAGCTTCTTTTTGCAAAGAAAAACTTTTTACACAAAGGCACGGGTTTCAACCGTGAATTTGAGCTTCGACAAGACGGAGGTCACACAGTCACACGCCAGGGAGACAGAAGTGGGTGAAGAATTTGTCCGACAGACAGCTCACACAGCCGAAGGCAGAGATCCTTGCCGGGGGACTGAACTTTGCGTTTGCACCAAGAAGAATTCCTCTGGTGGAGATGATCACAGCCACAGAATCAGCCATCCACAACAACAAAATGTCAAGAGTTTGAAGCAGATCAACTCAAAGTTTCAGCTGCCTCAGCAACGCCAAACCACCACCTTCCAACATCAGCAGAGAGGAGAGGGACACACACATCATCATCCTCCCAGCAGACAAAGGAAGGCGCACAGTGATTCTGAACCAGAAAGACTTTCATGAGAAAGCTGAAGAGATCCAGGAAGTGGACACAAGAAGAAGCTGATTGAGTACCTGAAACATTTGAAGCAGGACAAGGCCATTGACCATATTCTGTACCCAGGGGAGGCCACGCCTGGTCTGAATAATGTCCCCAAAATTCCCAAACAAGATGCACCGTTAAGACCGATTGTTAGCATGATTAACTCCGTAACAATGTTTGCAAATATCTGGCTCATCCCTTTAGTTGGCAGCTCAGAACACCACATACAGAACACCATGGACTTTGTGGATAAAGTGAAGGATGTCATCATGGAGACTGATGAAACAATGGTCTCTTTTGATGTCACATCACTCTTTACGTGCATTCTTGTTGATGAAGCAGTCAGTGTTGCCAGATAGTCTAGGTTTTCCAGCCCAAAAACCTGTTAAAAACTGCCATATCAGACAAAAATCTACCAATTAATATATAGTTACAGTATATTTACTGTTGAACATGAACACACATCAGTAGAAGCCAAGATAATTTAACAATATGTGGCAAAACTTCCCAGAGTTCCCAGCAAAATCAGAATGAAAACCGCCCAATTTGCAGTAAACTGCCCAATCTGGCCACACTGGAGGCAGTAGAGGTGGTCGGTTTAAAGTTAAAATCAGACACCACTCTGAGCAGCAGGACCACGCTTTCCACTGAGCAACTGTGTCAACTCTTGAAAAACTGTAGCTGCAGTCAACCTACTTCACATATGGGGGGTATAGGTAAAAACACAGGTGAGCAATGGGGTCCCCCATTTCATAGAAAAGAGAGCTTTGGCAGGCGGGTGGTTGGACTCCTCTACAGTACCATGTGAATGTTTTCTCCAAAGCAGAGAACTTGTCTATAAGACACAAAATCACATCTGGCCCCAACAAGCTGCAAAATATTTTGTTCCACAATAAAAATGAGTAAACCCTGCAGTATCCTGTCAACCGATACACAACCACGTCAATGCTGATAATGATTTTTACCCTACATTCAATTTAGTTTCACATTTTCCCATGTACTTCCTTGATCAAATAATACACTTGCGTCAAATACAGAATTTACAACAGTCATAATATTTTGGTTATATTCAAATTAATTGAAATATATCCACTTCTTTCATTCAGTGAGCACTTTAATCATTTGGTCTCCACAAAATGAACAAGTCTGTCAGGTGCCCTGCAATGACCTTCAAGTCCAGCAGATGTCGCCAAATATGCCACATTCTCCATAAAGAGACATGGACCCATCACTACTGCCAATCACAGGGTATTTACCTTCTCTGATACAAATATGTTTCAAAGATTTTTAATTAAGATTTTCAAGTAGTCCAGCATGCCAGCCATCAATAATATGTTTCTGAACAATGCTCGTTTATTCAAAGCACTAGATATGGTGATGACAATAAATGTTGTGCAGCCCTATCAGCAACTTACTCCAAGGATGCAAGGATTTTTATTGTCATTCACATCACATGTGGTACATGAGGTGGAATGAAACTATGTACACAGGGTCCCAGTTACATCCAACTGGGACACTGTGTACATAACCCAATGTAATAATTTCAAGCATTGCATCATTCAAACTTGCTTTAAACCATGACACATTAAAAACTAATTTCTAACATTTGTTAGCTAGCTGATCCTCAATTTGGCACATCAACAGTTTTTAGGTCAAAGTAATTTTAAAAAATCTGGTTTTTGCGAGCACTAATAATAAAAGTAATAAACTGTAGTAGCTCTGGTCGGGATATAAAATGAGTGCTGGAATAGTTATGTAATGTGAAAATACTTGTGTTCATAGTAACCATTATGAAGGCTTTTAAATTGGGAGTTGGTTTAAGACAACAGAAAGTCACTTTGGTCTTAATCTCTTTTTCTCCAAACTTAAATTGCTAAACGACTTTCTTGCAAGTAAGTTTCATAACCTTTCCACAGAGCCCCAGTTCAAAAAATCTGATCTTTCTGTCTAATTAACAGTTTTTTAAATGGTTTTCATTACTGCTTTACTTTTCATGTCCTGAAGAAATGCAGGGGGAGGCAGGATACCTCTCATACATAAGTGTTTGCCAATACAAAGTATTGATTTAATTAGATGAAGCCTTACCGATAAGGTGCAGCCCGCTGACAATAACTGGTCCAGTTCCAGCCTTGAGCCGGATGGTCACTGGGGCTTTTAGTTCAAACTCTCCCAAACTCACCTACGTTGAAAATAAGAAAATGTTAAAGATATCAGATTTCGGTGGTTTAATCCACATGTAAACTTTGTTTAATACATTACCATAGGCAAACATTTAATGTGAAGGTTGGCGATGGGGACAGAAATAGTCTTTCCTTGGTGGTTCATGGCTGTTACCTCCACCACATTGCTCTCCTCTTTTGCACCTTCACCAAGGCAAACCTGAAGGAAACCAGATTTAATCACAACGAAACAAACTGGATTAAAGAGAGAAGTTAAACACTTGTATATAAACACATCACAGGAGCAGAATCTATTTTACCGTACATTTATCACTCATGATGTGTACATACTGTTCTGAGCTCGAGAAAGTGCTCCAGGTCTTCTTCTTCATCCCCTTGGAAAGTGAAGAAAGGTACTTTCGTTGACAATTCGCAACCTGGCGATAAAAGGAAAATATTAATTAAATATGTAGCCGCGCAAAAAGACAGAATAAACGAGGTGTGGCTTTTTAATTACAATCTAATGTTTGTCGGGATAGCAGAGCGCCCACAAACCCACGTGTGAGTCAACCGAGAAGCACAAATAAGCAGTTTAAACTGTACTTACTGAACAAAAAGCTCTCCAACTTGGACTGTGCAGTCGGGCCGACATCCATGGAGTCCTCGTCACCGAAAGACATTTTGCTCAAAGGTCGTAGTTGATTTAATTGTCAGCGTTTTATGCTTAAATGAATCCTTCACGAAAAAGCTGCGTGAGCGTCGCAGACTATTTGACACGTAGTACGTCATCAATGCGCGCCTGAGGCTCGGTGAGATTTTTGTTTAGGATCAGCTTTTTTTATTGTTTTTTTTACTTTCAGCAGTATTTAGGATCAACTGAAAACTTTTTAAAGTTTCTGGACACCCAGATAGTAAACAATTGCAATACATGTAGTCCAACTTAGACATGGTAAATGCATGAACTTAACATGCTAATTATACCTCTGCAACCATAATTAAATCATACACAATGAAATTAAAAAATAACTTTCATACCTGCTTTCAGGACCCATATTTTGTTCAACAACAAAAAATATCATTTTTATGTTGATTCAGCATTTCTTTGCATCATTTTTCTCCTTTCCTATACAATAAAAACAGAATACCCAGACATTTATACAGAAGAGACACACACCAGTACAGCAACTTAATGATTTATTAGTTTCTATTACATATCTTACAAAAAAATGTACAAAGACAAGCTGTTTAATACCCAATCATCTGAACCTTCAACTCAAAATGTACAGGCAGAGCCCTATTTCAATTACTTTTTTTGTTAGATTATTGGAAAAAGACCCAAACATCAGTAAACTACACCATTTTAAATAGGAAATTAAATGCTTGTTTTATGACACGAGAGCAGATCGTTTCGCTCCTCGCCGACCGACAGTACGACTCTAAAGAACACGGGGGTTGTATGAGTTTTTCCTCTGAGCAACACAGAAAATTATATACAAATAATCACTGTCTGAATAGTGTTTACAGAATGTCTAAGCACAACACTATCATGTTTTAGCTGTAAGTGGCATGCTTCTTCCTCGATGTGGCATCGGATGAGATTTTTCCCAAACGTCCACCGCAGGAAATGCAGAACACCTCATGCACATTATGAACGTACAGTATTGAAAACTCACATTGACAGGCAGCTACAGAGCAACTTATAGCACACGTAACCAACAGAACACTTCAGTTGAATTGTTAAAAAGTTGTCTTTAAAATAAAACTACGGATTTATAAAGACAAACGGAAAACGATTTGGAACAGAAAACATCCAACAACGAGGGGGAAAAAAATCCTAGGAAATGGCTACAAACCTTTAAAGCTACTGATGAACAGCGTGGAGCTAACTTTAGTATTCAAATACAAGATTGACTTAAAGAACGCTCACACAGAATGTTACATGATCAACTGAGAACACATTTACTTGTATGAAATGTTGAAAAATAAAGATGTGTGATGAAGTCTTAGTAGCTTGGTGTGGGTGGCTCCAGCTAGTTGCCTTTTCATTTCAAAGTCAGGCCTCAAGACAATAAAAGCTTAAAATTTTAGGCCTACCTAATGTTTTTAAAACAGAAATTGCTGTCACAAATAAAACTAGAACTGAAAGTTTTGGTCCCACTAGGTAGGTGATTTAAATTTTTATTAAAAAAAAAAAAAAAAAAAAGGAACTCGACATTTTACTATTAAACAAAAAGACGCAAACTTGCAAAAGACAAAATCTCAATACTAATAAGTGTGCAATTATACATAACCTTTAAAAGAACTTTTAAATCAGCCATTTCTACAGAGCTCAACAAGCTCAATATACAAATATCAGTCTTGTAGCGACTGCCTGACAAATGTTAGAAAATGTGATCACAATAGATACTGGGTGGGAGAAATTCAAACACCAAATGGCAATAATGAAGTGAAATGAGATTAAAAAGAAAACATTTATAAACTTGTGTGTTTGTTGCTGTCCAGTTTGTACATCAACAAAAAGAAGAGCGTGTGATTCACTCAGTTTTCTTGGGCTGTTGTGAAGTTCTGTTCGAGGCTGCAACACATAACGGGCCACAGCTGCCCACCCTTCGTGTGTGGACCCAGTATTCACATTTTAATTTCTGAACACACTTCAAAAGGCCTTCATCTCCAAATGGATTGCAGAGCAAATAACCATATTGCCATATGGCACTGAAAGGCAGATTCTCATAGCACCTCATATCCTGTTACCATCTGTGTCATTTCAATGTCAAAAATAAGAAGACTGCAGGATTTGAAGGAGACAACCCAATTTCACAAATGCTGCCATTTCAGACACTTCTTTGTATCGAGTATGGAGGAATATCCATACAGTGGATAATTGATGTAATCAGAAAAAGGCTTATGGAGGCATCTCTTCCTTCCACGTGCAAGTACACAAGAAGTGGAGCCCGAGGAATCAGTGCAAGATCGGAGCACTTGCAGATCGCTGGTTGGATCTTTCAGCTCAGGCCAAATCCAACTGAGCTGAAACATCTAAGGGCAGCCACAGGTAAGCTGCGTCCAACTGCTGTGCTTGTTGACACAAACCGTAAAAACAAGGTTCTTCCGGGGCGAGCCCAAATGGTAACGTAGTATAAAATCATCACAATTTTTTCTCACAAATACGTTCAAGCTGTTTTGACATGATCTTTTTCAGTCCGTTACTGTTTCAGCACGTTTCTTCAAAGGCTGCGTCCCATAATGATGGCATCTTTGGGAAAACCTTCCATTTTGGCCACTTCAAAGCATCCCAGTTTACTATAGAACTCCAACATTCGCTTATCAGTCTGACGAATTTTGCAGAATGCACCATGGGAGCCTAAAATGGAAAAAATAATTTTTAGTTTGGACAACCACAGAAAGATTATCAATTTATTTAGTTCACAAAAAAGCGATAAATTATTTGACTTTTTTTTTGCCTTTGTTTTTGGATTTTTGGGCTGATTTATACATCAATAATAAAACGCACGCCCGTTTTCAAACTAAGACAAATAAGTTCTTGACAGAATGCACTGACACAACTGAAGAACCCTGCTACGTACCATTTGCTTTAATGGAAGACAACAGACATCCCATCATGCTCTTAGCCACACTGGGATCAGTGACTTTGGCGTGAACGTCAACTTTGATGAGCGAGGGAAAGTTGGACAAAAAGGAGTCTGGAAGACCCTCCTCCTCTTCATGAAAACTCAGAATGATCTTCTGCAGGGACGAGGAGCAGAGCGTAAAATTTATTTACCAACAGACACAACGGGTGCGACGTCTCTGTTGATGTCGTGACACTTGGATAAATGAATTAGGATCATACTTCAGCCTCTGAGAGATCCTTTTCACCATCAGGCTTGTTGTATTTCTCCTGCATGTGAGGAATCCAGCTCAGCTTGCACTTCTTGATGAAAGGTTTCACATCTACGGTGCCCAGAGCATAACCGCAGATCCCCTCGTCATCCTCCAGCACGAAACCGTAGTCTGAACTCAGTGTCAGGAGACCTCCGACTAACCTGTAAACAAACAGGAAGGATTTGGTCGGTCACGTGCTTCAGGGGATAAAAACAAATCAGGTTGTAGCCAGAGACACCTTTGAGTTTTACCTGTCTCCTATCAGGTCAGCATCATCCTCAGAGAATGGCACGTCTTCCATTCCTTCACAGTACATTTCTTTACAGATTTTATAAACTGCAGTCTGTATGAAAAGCACATTTTTGTAGTGGTTATACACATATACTTAGCTGAACAGTGGCTGATGAGTACAGTAATTTCCAGACTATAAGCCGCTACTTTTTCCACAGGCTTTGAACCCCGTGGCTTATACGACACTGCGGCTAATTTATGGATTCTTTTTTTGACAGGGTAACAAGCTTCATGCTGCCAAAACATTTAGCCTCGTCACACCTGGGCACTCATAACTGCCTAATAATACAAGTCTCTCTTGGGGGGTGAGTTCTCGTGACTCAAGTGAGACGACCTGTATAAATAAAAGGTAAAAAAACGACAACAACTGACCAATGAAATTACTGAACAGGTCACAGTGGACACCGTTCAGGAAAAAAAATAATTTACTGTACGTGTTTGCATGTTATCAGTGCGTATTTAATTAAAAGTTTAAAAAATATCTTTCTGTGTAAATATCTCGTTACAACGTGGACACCCGCGTCTTATATATATGTACATGTTATTTTCATCCCTTTTTAAATTTAGTGGGCGCTGCTTATATTCAGATGTGCTCAATAGTCCGGAAATTACGGTAAATTACTCGGGTTCTTGTAAAAAACGGGGAGTGAACAAACATGACAACACACTAAGAAACATTTTACCTCATCTTTGGGATAGTAAGGCCTTATTGTATAGATTTTGGAGGTCGGCAAAGAAGGTGGAGGTTGGTAGAAAAGATCGTTTGCTCCATCTATCGGCAGTAACCTCTGTGGGTTACAAAAGCGAACAGGTTTAGTTACACAGTAAAAAGTTGATTTTGTTGACTGCCTCAGTGCGTATTTGCCAAGTTGAGCTACTATCAACCCAAAAGGAACTACTTTAAAAGACTTTAAAGAGCGTTTTGAGTTACAATTATTGTTCAAGAAACATCATTAACAGTGTTCCTTGTTGATTTGACAGTAGACAACAAGAGCAAACATCACAGTCTACTTGTTTTTAACCATGGAACACAAAGTTTACACAGAGCCTTCCTAAGAAGAAATACATGGGTTGTATTTTGGTCTGACTAAGGTGTTACTGGCTGAAGGAGATGCTTCTTTCCCTTTCACAAAGCATCGCAATATTTCGCTGCGCAGGAGCCTCCTGTTGAGAAAAATAATGATGCTAGCGCAAAAATACAGAGAACTCCTGGAAAAACACAAAAGGAAAAATCAAATGGAAGCTCACTTCATTGTCAAGCTGACTGTGAGCCTTGGCTGGGAAATAGTTTTACACTGAAAGGTGTGTTTAATCTTAAGAGTTCTCTTTGTGCATACAAGCTTGCGCGCTCGCTGCGATGCTCTCGCTGCACTGCTCGCGCGTGCGCTTGAAAAGGGTCGCCATTTTGAACGCTGTGCTTCCCTGCAAAGAAATGAGATGTCATAAAAATAAAACCTAGTCATGCTCGCTTGCGCCGCACGCGCAAGGGAAAAGTAGCATCTCCTTGGTCAGCTGCTGAAATAAAAAGTTTGTTTTAAACAATCAGAACAAGCCATGCCAAACTCTGGCTGTATATCCTTTTGTCAATGCATGTTTAAGGTAAATCGATCCAGTTACAGATTCTGTAAATCTTCCAAAATTAACACTAGGATTTATTTTTAAGGTCTAGTTATCTCATTAGAATCAGCTCACCTTTGACAGACCAAACCCCTTCATACCTACACATATTTACCAGTTGCTTTTTTCCTCACAGCACTTTTTTTTCTTGCCATTTTATTACCGTTATTTTAGTGCATTAGATACCTGGAACTCTCCTGCTAGACCTCCCCTAAAGGCCCAGGGCTCTTGGTCTCCTTTAAGGAATTGTGCTGAGGACTGACTACGACACCCTGTTAGGAGCAGAGCCAAGCGGACATTGTTACCACAGGATGGGGCTCCGGTAAAGATGAAAGGAGTGGGGAGATGGGAATGAAGGGGGGTAATATGTAATAATTTGTAACTATTAGCATTAATAATATAAATTAATTTTGTTTCAATTATTAAAACAAACAGGACCTAATGCGAAATAATTACGCTCAAACAACATCTTTGACGCAATGGGGCTCAGGCACCTAAATCTCATGTTTGGAGAATTTAAGTGCGAGTCAGAAATTTTATATAAATGAGCTCTGCACCTTTTAAAATTTTCTGTTACTACAGTATTTTCAGCCAGCTTCTTAAAACATGGTCTGCAAATCTTAGGTTATTTTGTGCAGTTTGATTATCCTCTGCCCTCAACAGTTAAGGCTATGACTTAAAAAGTTGGGACTTGATAAATACACCAACCACCAAAACCAAAATCTGTATCTTAGTATCACAACAGAATGCTTTAGCTGCCATCACCCCACTAATCTTAGCACCCTGTGTGAAGTCACATTCTCAATGTATCTGCCTTGTCACATGACAGAGAAACATAAGTCATTAAAAACCAGGAAAACGGAACAAGATGCACCCCAGCCCATAGTTCAATGGCCTCTCAGCTTAATTTAAAATCTACTATGAAGCACAAACAGCAGCAAATATCTAAAACACTCGCAGCTTTTAACAGTGTGTATCCAGCTGCACTGCTGCTAGCAAGATCCAACCCTGGTTGACAAGAAGCCCTGTCATGTGACCAGCAAAATGCAGCGCGCATGCAGGACTTTCCCTGCTTTATGTGTGAACCTCACAATGATATCAAATACAATTCCTGCAGATGCACCCACATGAAGGAACTGTGAACTTGGCAAGCCAAATTAAAACCCACAATACTGAGTGAAAATACTTTCATTTAAATCACCGACCGTGTCTGGATAGTTGAATAATCGATGTGCAACAGGAAGCACAATTAAAAACCTGTTCCATGGATCCAGCCATTGTTTATCTGAGCTCTCCACTGCACGCAGAAACAAATTTCATATTGCATTATTATATTTCAAAGCCAAGTACAAGTTCCTCTGTGTAGGTGCATCACGCTGGTCTGAGCCATTTCTATTAGCCTACTGACAGAAACAAAAACAAGTTAGAAAGATGCTGCCAAAGAGAAAAATTTGGGAGTTAACAATTGGAATACAAACTCAAATCGCTGCGCAAGATGTGACTTCATCCAGAGGCCGCTTCCTTTCCTCCAATTGAATCTTTTAATGAATGAATTTAGTTTTAAGATAAAAAATACATAAGACCAATTGCAAACATAAACAAAGTAAAAAAAAAAAAAAAAAAGACAACGCCTGCACTGTGCATACATCGGCCACTGTCGATCCAGTAGCAGTAGAAACTTGTACTGTGGATTCTTCCATCTGTACATAGTGAGGGGAGAAAACAGTAGAAAATAGTGATTAGTAAATATTCTCAGTACAATAATTAGGGGGATTGTGACTAAATGCCGGCTGCAAAGTTTTCAAGGGGAAAGATAAAGTATTGATAAAAAGGAGGAGGAATCGTCAGCATATTGAAAATTTAAAAAGCTGATATTAAAATTTGTCCAAATGTGAGGCACTGATTTCTTCAACAGTACCAGAGTAATAACTATTTACTAATGCATCAGGCCAAAAGTGTCAACTTTTGAAGTGGTTTTGCCAGTGTGGGAATGCTGCCTGCTGTGTAGTACTGTGTGCTGAGACGCCAGCTTTACAATGTAGCTCAACTGGACAGAAACCTGTGAATGAAACTGGGTTACAGGGAGTAACCAGTAGGCCATGCTGGTACTTAACGATCATCAAAACAACACTCCAAAAAAGACGGAGGTGTTATCTCTCAGTGAATGTCACTCAAACTGTATCAAGCGCTCAATATCAGCTTGTTTTGGTAAGAGAACAGCAGTTAGTGAGAAAGCCATTCTCTCTCTCGTTAAAAAAAAAAAGAAAAAAAAGGGGGGAATAAACTTGATACAGATTGAGCTAATAATATGGAGAATAAAACTCTTCAACAGCCTTTTTTTGAGACTACTCAAGAAAGGCAATGGTGCAAACACATGCATCCACATTCTAACGAAATACAAATTCAGCTCGGTTCTTGGTTTATGTACCAGAATGGCCTTCCACACTTGGTCAACTTGCTCTCCAAGCTTGCGCGCGCGCTAGTGCATGGAGGGAAGGGGATGAGACTTTCTCCTGGCACCCATCCTCACAGCCAGGGAAATGGAAGTAGCATATCTGGGTGGGAATGCAGCAGTGATGTTACTGGATACACAGCAAGCAGCAGTAAACCCCGCTGGGACAGTTTCCACAGAGTCTCAGTTTAGACATCAATAATGAAAACGTTTTAAATTTTAAACACGGAAGATACCAACAGTGCAAGCAGCATTCAGTCTGATAGAAGAAGAAAAAAAACAATAATCAACATGTGTGAATAACAAGAGCATTTAGCTGCAAAGTGAAGCCTTAGGCTCGATCTGTGCTAAGCTAATCTAAATTGTTCTATTTCTCACAGCTAGTGGCGTTACCCATAAATTCATTGGTGAAAAGAATATTCTGTAAGAGGTGTTTTGTTACTGATCAGAAATCATCTGTTAAGCAGATGTTTTAACAAACAATCATATGTAGTTTAGTGAAAAAAGTGCATAGCTCTGAACTATTGTAACCTCCACGCAGTTAATAAATGTGAACGTCTTAATTTATTTTCATAAAATGTGTTCCTGAAAATGACTAAATTCAAGACCTGATGCTAAAATAAAACTTTCTAAGAAAAGAGGCCCCCGGGTTCCCTTGTATACATACCTAACCACTGAACAAAAGACTTGACCATAGAAATGATGCTCTTGATGTCCCAAATGTAAGGGTACAGGTCGTACAGAATGGTGCGGTTGGCTGTATTAGAAAGCCGTGTGAACATGTGGATGACGGAGCAGCACATCTCCTCAAACTTCTCGGCCCGTGACTGCCATTCTGCAACCTGAATGCATCACAGATTAGAAATAAAAACAAGTAGTCAAAAGGAAGAGTTGAAACTGACATAAAAAATAAAAATAAAAATAAAAGAAACTAATATTCAAGTCAAGTGAGCAACAATTTTGTTCAGCTTAAATACACATTTAACTCATTACACTGTTATACAGTTTATACTTTTTCTGACAGTTTTTTTTACTGTCAAAATGTAACTGGGAGAATATTTTTTTTAAATATATGGAGTTTCAACAAACATGGCACACTAATCTGCAGTGCAAACAATCCAGTCAAAACCACACCACCTAACGGGCAGTAGGGGTAATACACATCCACCATTTTGTTTTCAGCTCCATTACCAGCCTGTTTATTTAATAATGTAGTTTTCTCACACAGACCTTATTCTCTTCATTTGAAGGGTTTTTTTGTTTAAATTTCAAATTAAAAGCCCACCTTTTCATTGTCTTTTCTTTTGCAGTTGACACTGACGACGCTGCTGTTGGCTCTTAACCAGTTAAACTCCTTTAACATCTGCAAGGCCTTGGGCCCATGTTCATACGGCAGATAAAAGAGCTCTGCGAGTAAGCACAGGTCCTCAAGCAAAGGAGGGTCCACTGTAAACAGGGGCTTCTCATCAGGTCCAGGCACAAACAAATCCTGAGGACACATGAAGCAACAATGTGATTTAAAAATGAATTTTAATATTGTACTATAAGCATCAAGTATAAAAGAGAAAAATAAATAAATCACAAATCTCTGCAGTACCTGTTTGAGCTGATCATCTGTCTGCATAGGGGCAACATCACTCCCAGAGTCCTCCTGAATCGACTCTTCAGGGGACTTGGACTCTGTCAGACTTTCCTTGTCTGTATCCATGGGTCTCAGGTCTTCAGTCATTTTTTCAGCTAAAATGGGAGCAACGTCTTTCTCCTCTGGATCAGCCTCGGCTTCTGGTTCGTCCTGTTTCTCAACAACCATTTCCATTGGTTCCTCATCCGAATCCTTCTTTTCCACATCCACCTGCAAAAGCAAAGTATGAAAATATTTTTTGAACCAGATGAATGACTCAAGTTAAGAGATCGTTATTGGCTTTAACAACACAAGGGGAACTGAATCAACAAGATGGTCCTGAAAATTTATCATAAAAATACACTTGAAGCAAGTTCAAATGAAAAGAGAATGCAGCATTCTCTTTTTCCAACAATAAGAATCACTAAAACACACCTCCTCTTCCTCCTGGGGTGTTTTTGCCATGGGGAGTGGCAGTGGATCCAAGCAGAGGGGAGGCATTGACGGAGACATGATTGGTTGCTGGAACACAGTCGTGACTGATGTGGAGGAGCAAAGAGACGGAGCCGTCATCGATGATACGTCAATGGCTGTGCTTTTAGAGCCACTCTGAGGCACCTGTCGGCCTAAAAGAGAACAATGTTACTGCGCTGCCCTGTTCTAATTGCCATCACTCTTTTCTAAGTGACATTTGAAACTGGAATCACTCTTACTGTTGTACTGATGAGACACGCCAAATTCCCCGAGCCATTCTGCCAGAGCCAGTTTCAGAGCGAGCTGCGGGCTGTAGAGCATGTCGGTCTCCAGCTCCTCATCACTGCCTTCATTCTCCAGCTTGATTTGAATAGAGACAGTGCTTTCCTCACCATCAGCTTAAAAGGACAAGATGAAGAGAGAAATAAAGCACAATAATAAATGATCTTTGCTGTGCTGGAATATCAGCAGAACCAAGTTCATGACTGATTAGGTACTTACTCATGACAACATCCTTTCGAACCCCATTCATGTTGGACTTGTACCAAGTGGCCAAAGTATGGATTGCTATAAAATTTGTTTCAAACTCGCAGTTGGGATTGGTGAGGACTCCCTTTAGTCTTGGAATAAGCTCTGTAGAGCGGCCCTTGTATGGACCCAAGAAAAGCCTTTTCTGGTCATAATCATTGGCATGAAAATTGTCCCAGATTACAGGGGACCTTCTTAGGATTTTGGACACCTCCTCAATAGACTCCACTGTGATTTCTTTAGATACAACCTTGGGGCCTATAAATAAACAGCATATGTTAATAATTTTGGACCAATTACAATTAGACAAATGAGTCTGGGCTTAATAATAAATGGTGTTCATCAGTTGAAAGAAAACATTTAAACTTGCCTGTCCACAGTACATCAATGTCAGGCAGCAGTTTTTCTCCAACTGTTAGAAGGTAGGGGGATTGCGAGACATTTGGGTAGCAGAAAGTACCACAGTACTCTGAAGGGCAAGAACACAAAAGCAACAAATAAACGTGCAGATCAAAACAAAGAATATAGAAAAAGGAGGTCATATATAGAAGTGACGTACCTGTGGGGCAAAAAAGAAATGTTTCAGGCTCTCCCACGTACTGGTAGATTTCATTGGTAAGAGAAACCTGAGCATGTGCAAAAGAGCTGAATACCTCTTTGTCTGCAGGGCACATGTTGTGGTCAATATCGTCAAAAAGTAAGGCAAATGACTTGCAGCCAAAATGAGAAACCTAAAGGGGAAGGCGTCAGATTAGCTTTAAAGGTGAAAGTAAGCAATTATGTTGCTTGGAGATACTGTAAGTCTATGTCTTTGACATAAAATATAAAAAAAAATATTGCATATTAACCTGATCAAGTTTCCTCTTGAGTGCAGAAACTTCTTTCTGATTAGAGAAAGTTATGTCTAATCCAGGGGAAATGGCATAAATAAACTCTATTCCATGCTCTTTGGCAGCAGCGATTAACGTCATGAGTTGCTCTACAAAATAAGGTAAGGGGAAAAACAAGTTACCTAATAGAGTTTTGTGTTTTCATTCAAATTCATCAGACACAAGGAGCCTGCTAAGGGTAGAAGGCACAATTCACATTTCTCGCCCTAAAACAGCTTATTCATAAATCTTCTCAGCATAGTCACCTGCTTCTTCCACTGAATAAAGTTCTCTCCAGAACATTCTGTGTTTGTAGTCATCTTTGGGAGCATAGAGGTATGTGTTCAGCCCCCATTTCTGTTGCCTGTAAAAAAAACATTTTGTATAAACCCAGGATCACAATACAAATGTTTGTACTATAATCTTATTAAAGAAGACCTTATAAACAGACATTACCTTCTGAATAATTCTTTCCTCTGTTCCATTGTCCATGGGCGCCCATAAAAGCCTGCATGAAAGATACAATAAAAATAAGTTCCCATGCAGTTTACAGAATCATTTATCTAAAATTTTAGCAATTTTTGCTGCTACAACAATTTGCCCTTGGTGTGAGTACCGGGAATACTTTCAAATATAAAGCTTAATGTATAAACACGTAGCGTTTAGTTCATATCTTAGATCTTATTACAGCGTTTCTTTACAATTCATACTTTAGTTGGATGTAACTGGGACCCTGTGTACACAATTTCGTTCCACCACATGTGGTGCAAATGACAAATAAAGAAACTTTGACTTCGTTTATGTTTTAAGCCATGCAAGTAATCACACTACCTCCAATATAATAGGTAAGGTATCATCATTATGCTTAAAAATAAACGTTATTCTTTATAAAATCCTGCCTATGTTTTAAAGCTACTTCAAATTATACAGGTATGTAAACATGTTTAAGACCAATTGGGAATAACTTTTTAAAAATGAGGCCACACAATCCAATTAATCTACAAGTCTCCATAAATATTACACCCGTGTGTGGAAAAATAACGTTTAATTATTTAAGAATACATTTGCATAAAATATTGATCACTGAACAGTTTTGACAGAAATTAGCTGCACGCGAGCCTAATTTTATTGACAATTTTCGATGAATAAATTAAATACGCAGGATTGGTGCAGTACTTCGATCATACAGTATGATAGATGTATATATATATATTTCTTCATTACCTTCAACAACCCCACTAATGAATTTTCTGAGACCAGTCGATTCGACTCCGATGTCGGTGGCCGCCACTGGGCCAGGGGCCTCCACACAAGCCTCTCCAGAGACTGGGCTGGGGCTCGGCTCAACATCCAGTTGAGGAGTCTCCAACGTCTTATCTTTCTGAACCATCGTTGGTGATTTTCCTCGATATACTCACAAAATCCAGATAACTCGCTAAATGTAGATATTTAGCATGCAAATCCACCGAGCTACTTACTCGGGACTGTCGGGAGGAAATAAATCGCGTCACTCACTGTTAAACGTCTACTAGCTTAGTAAATCTGTTTTTAATTCCCCTCGTTTGTTAACGAATACAAATACTAGCAAGCGGTTAACATCATATATGTCGTTAAATGCACGAAGAAAATACAAGCCGTTAGTCCGTTTTTAAGCGACCATTCTCTCCTCGTTACGGTAAAAATTTGCCCTAATTTTCGCTGGTTCTTCCTGTTTACACCGAATGCGCATGCTCACCAGACCAGATTAAACCAGTCAAAACCGGATCTACGTGACAAAACACCGCAAAGGCATTACGCACGCAAGATAGTTAACGCCTTACAAGGCAAATGTCTGCATTACGAATGCTAAAATAGTCGGTTTGCTAATTTTCCACCAAATATTTTGCCATTGTTTTTATTTTTTTTATTAAATATTGTCAGTGGAATTATTATTATTATTAGTTTATGCAATATAAATTGTCCAACTTGCTCCCAACGACTCAAATGACAAATTGTATTTTAGAATTGAGTACAATTAAATAATGCTAATACAAGATATAAACAGGAGAGCTAAATGTAAGTGGAAATTTATATAACAAGTTCAGATTTCGTGGTCTGATCTGTGATTCTAGTACAGAGTCAACAATATATGGTGAAGAGCAGTGAATTATCTTGAGATTCCCAATCCATATAAAAAATGCAGATAAGATTCATACCACTTTCAAACAGAACAGAGATGCTATTTTATTTTATTTTTTTAATTTATCCTTTATTTTTCCAGGTAGTCTCATTGAGCCACGAGAACTCATTTTCAAGAGAGACCTGTTTTAGGGAGCAGATGGGGGGTTAAGGGCCTTGCTCATGGGCCCAGAGTGGGGCGAATGAGGGTGGAGATGCTATTTTATACTTAAATGTCTGATACAAAATGCTAATGCATAAACAATGGGTGGTAAATGTTAGAGAAAAATGGAAGGCATTTGTGTAGCAAGCCTTTCCCCAGCAGACAAATCAAGCCACAGTAGAAAATGTGTTTTCTACTGAGATGTTCCAGAATGAAATGATATATTGTACAAGATAAAGTGCAGGTGATTTACTTTGGTGAGCTGCTCCAAAGACTTGTACCTAAAATTTGACCCTTTAAGTGTGCCATTATTTTTTTCTAATGGAACTCTTGGGACATTGATGTACTGTTGACAAAATGTGTCATGATGTAGACCTAAGCAGCCCTGCAAAACCCCAAATTCAGTATCTCAGAAAATTTGAATATTACTTAAGACCAAAAAAAAAAGATGATTTTTAGAAATGCTAGCCAACTGAAAAGTATGAACATGAAAAGTATGAGTATGTACAGCATCAATACTTAGTTGGGGCTCCTTTTGCCTGGATTACTGCAGCAATGCGGCGTGGCACGGAGTCGATCAGTCTGTAGCACTAGTGCTCAGGTGTTATGAGAGCCCGGGTTGCTCTGATTGTGGCCTTCAGCTCTTCTGAATTGTTGGGTCTGGCATATCACATCTTTCTCTTCACAACAATACCCATAGATTTTCTATGGGATTAAGGTCAGGCGAGTTTGTTGGCCAGTTAAGGGGATACCATGGTCCTTTAACCAGGTACTGGGAGCTTTGTTGTGTGCAGGTGCCAAGTCTTGTTGGAAAATGAAATCTGCATTTCCATAAAGTTGGTCAGCAGCAGAAAGCATGAAGTGCTCTACAACTTCCTGAGAGACGGCTGCTTTGACCTTGGACCTCAGAAAACAGTGAACCAACACCAGCAGATGACATGGCACCCCAAACCATCACTGACTGTGGAAATTTGACACTGGACCTCAAGCATCGTGGATTTTGTGTCTCTCCTCTCTTCCTCCAGACTCTGGGACTTCGATTTCCAAAGGAAATGCAAGAGACCATAACTTTGGACCATTCAGCAGCAATCCAGTCCTTGTCTTTAGCCCAAGTGAGACGCTTCTGACTCGGTCTCTTGTTCAAGAGTGGCTTGACAAGGAATGCGACATCGGACCCATGTCTTGCATATGTCTGTGCATGGTGGTTCTTGAAGCACTGCCTCCAGCTGCAGTCCACTCTTTGTTAATCTCCCTCACCCTTTTGTCTTGCCTTCAATGTGCAACGTGTCATGGTCATCATTTGGACAACTGTCAAGTCAGCAGTCTTCCCCATTATTGTGTAGCCTAAAAAAAACTAGACTGAGACCATTTGAAGGCCTTTGCAAGTGTTGAGTTATTCAGCGGAGTGTAGCACCAGGTGTCTTCAACATTGAACCTTTTCACAATATTCTAATTTTCTGTACTGAATTTGGGGTTTTCATTAGTCAGTTATAATCTATATTAAAAGAAATAAACATTTGAAATAGATCAGTCTGTGTAATGAATGAATATACGAGTTTCACTTTTTGAATGGAATTACTGAACTTTTTCACGATATTCTTATTTTATGACCAGCACCTGTATATCCAAAGCCAAATTTGGCATCATGCTTGTTAGAAATTCTTCGCTTTATTACAGATTAAATCAATGCAAGAACGTGATAAAGCACTGATTATTCTTTGTACAGATAGTGCTGTATGAATGGGTAAATGAGGACCACAGATTGTATTGTACAGCACTTTGAGGATCTTGCTAAGATAGAAAGGCGCTATACAAGTACAGTCCATTTACCATTAATACAAATAAACAAGCATCATCATTTTACATTTAAAAACTGTAACAAGAACCAGCCAAGTTGCAAGACAAAATACTTTTTATTTAGGCTTGTATTACATTTCAATGTATTACATGCTCTCCAAAATATTTATGGAGTTCCATTCCATTTTAAAATTATTCTCTCCATACAATTTAATGTAGTTGTACATTTAAATAAACTTTTAAAAAACAAAAATCTTAAGTAGTCTTTTTTTTTTTTTTTACTACTTTTACCAGTTTTATTATAAAGTTTCACTTCAATAGAAGGTGTAAACTTGTAGAAACAAAATAATGCAACAACCAAAACATAAAGACTGTTGCGGATGCTGAGCAACCCATCCACTGAGGTGCATTTCAGCGGCTTCCTGGTGCAGGCCTCCTGTTACCTCTTCAAATTCTGCTGAGCCTGCTTCAGTAAAGTGTCGAAGTCTAGTGCATTAAACTTGCCTTTAGCAGGTAATGAATCGTACTCTCTACTCGAATCTGGTATGAGAAGGTAGGGAAAGACATGTATAAATAAACTGAAAACTTTATAATACTTTTGTTGCATCTGAAATTTAAAACCATGCCCACCCAGGTCAGAATAGTTGGACTGACAGAACTGTCTCCTTCCACCAAAACAGAGATCGAATGGCAGCTCATCGGGTTTGCGCAGCTTACTCCCATTCTCAATGGCTGTAAAAGCATGTTTGGTGTCGTAAAAAGTCACAAACCCGTAGTTGTCCCTGTGGAAAATTATAAAACAACGATTGCGTCAACAGGTTTAAAATATGTCCAGGGAAAGTAGCAACTGATCTTGTCCATACTTTTGAAAATGTAGCTTGCTTTTAAAAGAGCAGCCAGGATGTGTTGCCAGGAAGCCCCAGTTATGAACAAGCTTGAGTTTGCTTTAGCACTGTAGCTATCCCTCAGAGGTCACAGAAAAGACCCATAGGTTCAAAGGCGGTGCCGTTATCTCATTAAATCCTTAGAGCAGGAACAATATAACTGAATGAAACATGCTTGTTTCACTCCAGCTGTAGATGTACTAACCCGTGGTCTCTGAAGTGCAGGGTACATTCCTCAATTTCACCAAAGAAAGAGAAGCGCTCTCGGAGTTCTTTGTGGGTCATCGTTTCCCGAATTTTACCAACATAAACAACCCGACGCTCCTCCTAGGAAAGTAGTGGATCACATTAGATGCAGTAAAAATACGACGATATTTTTAGAGAACATAAACTTACAATGGCTCGTTCCTTGCGCATCTTTGATTCTTCCATACTTCTATTTGTGCTATGATGATATATGGGCCTGTATGAAGGGCTGGGGAGAAAAAAAAGAAAGAAAGAAGTTGGTTATTTATTTTTTAATGTCAGTATTTGTGATGCTCAGTTCAGACAGGTATGATTATTTGCTATTTTAACTAAAATAAGAACTGGTTATTTGTTTTATACCTGTACAATCGTCCGTTTTCGTTCCACTGTGGTTGTCTTTGAGGGGACCGTGACCTGGACCGACTCCAGGAGCCAGAGCGAGAAGAAGAATAAGAGTTTCTCCGTCTCCTGGGAGGGGAGGGAGAAGATGGAGACGAGGAACGTGATGAACAACTGGAACTGCTATCCGAGTCACGGGATCGATACCTACAGATCAAAAGAAATAATACAAATAAGAAACTCCTGAAACTGATGCGACTGAGCTAATTTAATGTTTCGATAGAAGGACTAACCTTTTCTTTGCTGGGGAACACGATCTGGACCGAGACCTAGATGAACAGGAGTCTGAGCAGCTAGGCGTAGGACTAGGAGAACGATGGGATCTTTTTCTCGACCGCCCACTTGTTCCCTTTTTGGGACTGGATCTGGGACTGGGTGAGCGAGAAGCAGCATGCCGACGGTAGGACCTTTTCAAGGGCTCTCTTCTGGGGCTCCTGACTTTAAATGAAGATTCGGATTCCTGCCGGGTTGGTGAAGCATCTGGAGTCTCCAGAACGAAGCATTCATCCACCCCATCAGTTTTCTTCTCCAAGGGTTCAGTCTGTGGAAAACTTGGCGTTTTGACAGGAATCACAGGACTTTTAGCAGGTTGGATTCGAGCCATGGCAGCTGGGGGCGTTTGCGTAGCGGTTGAAGCTTGGATGGGCTTTATCGTGATAAGCGATTGCTGTCTAACGTTCCAGCGTTTGGCTGGCTCTTCAGTGGTGGAGCCTTTGTTGGGGAGGCAATAGTCATGATCCATGCATGCCAGATCAGGACTTACAGACGCAGCAGCAGCAGTGGCTTTACTACGGGACCAAACTGAGGGTAGAGGCTGGGCTTCGATCTGAATGACCTTGGAGGAGGTCTCTGCAGCTTTGCTCTTTGCCAGCAGTGCTGCAGTAGGCAGCGGTTTCCACAGCTGGTGGGGAGGTGTGGCTGGAGGGGTCAGCGCTAAAGCACAGGGAAAGAAAGACCAGAAAAATGCCACTCAGCATTCGCAATTTAGGGAAACGTATCTACTGAACAGAGTTGCATTAGAGGCACATTATTGGAAATAATCAAAGCATATTAAAAAAAAATAAAAAAACTTATTTGATAACGTTTTAACTGATTTACCTGCAGCGGTTGAAAGATTAGCTTTTAGACGCTCTACGGCAGTTTTCTCTGGAACCGGTTCAGTTCTGCAAAGCAAGCAGGGTGAATTAACCCTCAGCTTATTGTTGTGATCTTTTCGACTGAATATGAATGTTAGAGGGTCAGTACTGAGGCCAGACAATGGCAGAGCTTTTGCGGTAGGTCTTGGCAAAAGGCGCATTTGTGTCACCCCCAGTCACACGCACATTTACACAATAGCAAACTGGTTTTATTCTTCCAATTATGACGACTTTTGTCATTCAGTCACTTATACAGAGCAGCGTGAGGGCTGTAGGGTAACTCACCTCGAGTTTCCTACAGCTGCTGCTCTACCAGAGACCTCCGACACACATCGTTTGTCTTTCACTGATGGAAGAGGGAACGGATAAAAGCACATCAGCACAAGAACCAGCAGAAGAGACGGGAAAACCAAAAGAGCATTACTGAGTTTGTCAGCAAATGGTTGCATTTATAACATTTCCAGATTTTCTCTTGGAATATGAACAAATTGTAAATAAAAGCAAAAACACGACATGTCTATAACTGGTACAGACAGAGCAACCATTTGTTATATTGTGCCGGACCTTGTACATCCATCCAAACAAAGCCTGCAGAGTAAAAGATAAATGAAGTTGCAGACGAGGCAAAATTCCAGCAGCTGAGCAGACAGAAGCTTCTCTGCCCCCTGCAGGACTAACTCCTGGAGAAATGTTTCAGTAGAGCTCAATCTTGTCAGAAATAGCTAGAAGTACCCCAAAAAACATTGAGTGTGAACAGTAATTTATTGGAAGGAAGTTTTTGCATCACAGAAATAGCATAAAAATATATTGAGACATTTATTGAAGTTATATGGTAAACCTTGCATGCATCATTTGTTAATAATATACATTTTTTTTTAAGTTTCTCCATTTTCTGACCCACTACAGCTAACCGACGACTGTATAATATTGTTCCTCATGACAAAACTTAGAAACGGATTCTGTGGCTACATTTAGCTCAGTGCTAAATGTGACCCACTCCGCTACTGATCCGCATCAACACACAACATCAGAATTAAACTGGAAAGAAAAATAAAACACCAAATAAATCACTTTGATGATATGACGCAGTTAAGACTTTAAAAATAATAATAATAATAATAATTACCTTGGGTTTCTTCAAACTGCTCAAGTAAGCTGGTCAAATCAGCAGCCTCAATACCTTCAAAGAGAAAAGTATTTTGATTTAACATTTATTTATGTATTCAAAGAAAGATGGCAGTTGATCTGCGTTCCAGCTTTTGTGCAAGTATATACCAACTATTAATACATATTAAAAAGTTAGATTTTTACTTATTCCACTAGTAAAATGCAGGCAATAAAACAGAAACTCCTAGCTCACCTATTTCACTGGCAAACGCCTCAATCAACTCCTGCGTGGCATCCTTTGTTCTTTGGCTAGTTGGTTTTTTAGTTTCAAGCACCACAGGTTGTGTTTTTGGACTACGGTTATTGAACAGAGGACCATCAGGAGAAGGTTTAACACTACTGGCTGTGAAGTCGGAGGATTTGCTAGAAGCAGTGACCTCGGGTAACTTCTGAGAAATCGTGGCGCTGTTCTGGGGGGCGCTTGGAGCAGAACCAGAAGCAGCGGATTGTTTGGTCACATCTGTAGCGGTTACGGGGCATAATTGAGTTTGACCTCCAGGTTTTAAAGATATGGGCTGTGACTTGGTGAGGACGTTCGCTCCATCTTGTTTACCTGAAACTTTAGAATGTTTTCCATCTTCTGAAGACACAAAGTGGTTTGCAGGTTTTAAAGAAGCTGGAGATGCACTAGTCTGAGGAACACAAGGTACTGTAGGATTTGAAGGTGTTGCATGTGGACGTGTAGCCAAATTCTTCTCAGAATAAGGAGTTTGGGGCTTCTGAGGGGGTTTGGGAAGGTCTTGTGTTTGCTGGGGTTTAGTAACGGCAGCAGTTGATGCAACCTTGTTGGATGAAGACATCATGTAGGCTGGTGGCACCAACAGCGCCTCAGGGGTGGGTGGAGCTCCTGGGCCCCTCGGCTGCCAAGCGGGCTTGACCTCCTCCACTACCTGAGTGTTGGGACGTCTGAGGTCCTTGGGGTTAGGGTCAGGCAGGCACGGTATGGGGGTGAGCTCTTTGGGAAGCTCTGGAAGGGTGGGCCACTTGGTGCTGTTCTTGTCTTGTTTCTCCACTGGAACCGGCTTTTTCTGCTGTCGAAGGCGCCTGTACTCCTCAAGACTGAGCGACTTGGGTTTAGGTTCTGGGACTGGCAGGGCAGCATCACCAGGCAGTGTGATCTCAGGAACCTCAGAGTTTGGAGCAGCTGTGCCGCTTTCAGAAGAAACCAAGGAGGGGGGAAGAGAGGAAGCTGCTGGTGAGCTTTCAGCCTCAACACAAGGTGTGATGGGCTGTTGTGGAGTACCACAGGGCTGCTGGGCACGTTCTGCACTGGCTGAACATTCAGGCTGAATCTTATCAAGGGGAGTATTGGATGGAACAGTGTCCAGATTTGGTGACAACAATGGAGCAGCGTTCTCATTTATTACAGTCAGTGATGCTGTAGTGGTGTTTTCTGTTTGCATTTTAGTTTCACAAGGCCGTATTTCTTTACAGCTTGGAAGAGATGGAGGTGGATTTGAGGAAACACAGGGGAACTTTTGCTTCTTTTCTTCTTTGACCGACTTTCTGTCAGGCTTTTTTTGCATTTCCTGTGCTGGTTTTGTGATAGTACCACTCCTCAGAACCCTTCCCTCCACAGATTTAGGCGGCTGCTCTTGTTTGCATTTCTTTTTCTTTTTTCTCTGCGAGGGACTTCTTGTTTTATTTTTCTTTTGTTTCCGAATGATGACTTGCTTTTCCGTATCTGAAGGAAGAACTGAAGTAACCGTAGCAGCAATTTCACTTTTTCCAAGCAGCACGTCATCTTCATCATCTACTACAATATGCTCCGAGCCGTCAGAAGGCTCCTCTTCTGCTTCATCTGAAACGTTCTCCTGATTTGCCAAACACAGTTCTTTGAGAGGCCCAGAGTCAGCTAGACCCATGTTTTGGATGGCCAAGATGGGTTCTCCATTTTCTCCTTGATCCACAACTTCAAGTACTATGCCTCCTTCAGGCAACAGGTGCTCCCCTTCCTCATTCTCTACAGATATGGGGATACAGTATGGGTGCATTTGCCTGACTAAGTCTCCAAGGTTTACTGAAAAACCATCTTCATCCTCCTGCTCAAAGGTGATAGGAAGAGGGAGGGCCAGACCCTCCCAACCAAACAGATCGATGTCAGGAGACAAGCTATGTCTGTCTGGGCTCAGGGTGAAGGAGCCATCCTCCTCTTCCTCGCCATCGCTCCTCTGGAAAGAGTTTGTCTGAATCTTGAATAAGCTCTGAGTATAGATGGAGAGAGAAATATTCAGTCCAACCTTTCATATATCTGCAATTTACACAGGTTGAGAAAAGTCCTTAACCCTACGTTTTCAGATGATGATGATCTGGTGGTAAAGAGTGTATCTTTGTCTTGGAGGGAATGAGACAAACACAGGATTCTCTTGAGCTAGAGAAGACATGGTACAGTATTACTAGATTAGATCATTAAATGGGGGAAAAAAAAAGTTTAAAATGTCACACAGGAGCTGTCTGGTCGATTGAATGTAACAGCCGGGCACTGACCGGAGAGTGTTCCCTGCTCTTCTGATTAGACAGCAAGTCTGAGTCAGGCAGCATGTCGAATGGTGACGGGTTCTCATCATCCACATTGTCCAAGATCTCCGTCAGGGCTGTCAGCAGTGTGGTCTCACTCTCTTCATCTAACCCTTTAGTCTACGCAAACACATACGCAACAAGGGATTAGGATTAAAGCATGAATGAAAATGAGCAGATTTTAAATACAAAAGTAACATCTGTCTTGCCTCTAGTGCTGACGTGTCCCCAAACATAGAAAGGATGCAGGGATCTAAACAGCTTTGAAAGGCCCCCAGACTTTCCCCTGAGCGGAGTCCAGTCTAAAAGAAAAGAATATAGTTTTTAGATTTTTGTTTGGGCAAATAAACCAAGAAGAAGACGTGAATCTGTTAAAAACTGAAAAAGTGGCCACCACAAACACAACACTGAAAACATTAATACAAAACAAAAAAGGTGCAAAACAAGTCGGCTTTCCACTGATTCAGACACAAAGGGATCTGAAGTGAGCTTAGTGCTGGTAAAAGTCTACAAATTCATCTTTGCTCAAGTTTATTATTTAGCACAAAAAGAGGACACAAGTAATTACATAAACTTTTGACTCCTGCTAGAATTAAAACAGATTTTTTTTGTGTGTCCTACGCACTAAAATAAACAAAGGAGACTAAATGGACATGTAGATCACTGCAATAGAAATAACATTTTTTAAATTCAAGTGGATTTAAAGTAATTTTAAATGATGAATACTAAAATAAACACCAGAACCCTCAAACATTTTAAATGTTGATAATTGTTTGATCATTTAAATGTACAAATCACGGCTATTATTATCTTATCCTTAAAATGTTAATCATGTAAATAGAAGCAACAACATTCCTTCAATACTGTATGCTGAAAAAAAAAGACTTTTAGAAGCTTTCAGTCTTTTTCTACAATAACCCACGTGTTTGGCTACAGAACGCAGACATGTTTGACCCTTCCCTTTCGCCGTACACAGGAAGACCAGACACACTACAACAAACTAAATAATTTGAAGTCTACAAAGCAAAATACACTACTAGGATAGCGTCTTTTTGTCATAAACCTCTTGATACACTACCATTTGTTATTCTAAAACCGTCCAGGGTCGTTTACTTGTAGATTAAACAACACATTTTTTTAACTCTCTTCTGCGCATGCGTGAAACAAACCCGCATGTGAATCACCACATGTGGCTTTACACACACAGGTTTTGAATGAAAACTCGCCCATATGAAGCAGTCTGAAAGCCTACAGTCATATGCTATGTATACTAACAACATTTACTCTGTAATAAATTAAGAAGCTCTTATAATGTGTATAACACAGAGCTGATAACACCGTTTGCTGCAATGCGACCGGTGTCAAAACTCATAATTTACTCACCGGCAACTCATCAGGCAGCACCAAACAACGTTAAGATTTAAAATTAGGATCACACATCCTGTATGGAAATTGGTAAAGTAAAAGCGACAAGATATTTCAGTGTTCCGACGTTTGTGTCTTGACACATGACACAAAACCCATTCAAAAAGGCTTCTAAGCGGTTTCTCACAGAAATTAAACAACACGAACACCTGCCGCATCAATTTCGAACAACTACGCACAGCTGTCACAAAACAGTAAGTTGTTTTTTCTTTAAACGGACAGTAAAAAATACTACTGTTGCATCCACGTGTCACTTTTCCACGAGCAGAAAGAAGAGTACAGCTTGTTCAGACTATTTCCGACTTGGAAAAAAATTGCAGATAAAAGATAGTACGAGCAGAAAAATAAAGTGCAGAATTTGTTCTTCACCTCGCCAAGTGTTTCCATCGGGAATAAATCCATATTGCACGCTGCTATCGTCTCCTCCGCCGCCATCTTACAATCCCACTCCCTGACTGGACTCGTTACGGAGAGATAAAGTAGTGAATCAGCCAGGCGAGCCGGTAATAGACACGTGGTTCCACATTCCCGGCAAAAGTGACGCAAAATGACGCTAAGCGTCAAGTGCTGCGTAAGCTCGTATTCTTGTAGTTCTTTGTAGTTTTTCTTCTTCTCAAGGTATTTAAATAAAAAAATCGGGGATTTTCATATTTTTTTTATTTTTTTTTTGCGCAATGTGTCTAAATTATGTGAATTCTAAATAATTTTTTATATTTCATTCTTACTTGTATAAATTTACACAGGTACATGAACTTATCTCTATGAACAACAATGGCAATAATACTAAAAATAGTCCAGCCGAACAGCAGCTTCCAATATTCGGTCATATTTACTATTTTGAACGCTTTCTAAAAGTTTAGTTTTATCAAACATCAAAATGTTCTATTTTATTTTTTATTTTTGCAGAAATCTAACATCATCTCACAGCTGCAAAGTATCCCAATGTTTCTGCATTTCATTTTTTTTCTTCTGTTTATTAGCTTTATTTTGCCCTCTTGGTTGCAATGACCTCAGTGCTGTTAACATACTTGAGTTTTTGTACACAGTTTTTATAATTTTAAGCAATTTTTTTGTGTGTGTGATTCCTTGTACTGAAACTCTGGCACAATTCCCTGCGGGATCAATAAAGTTCTCTTATCTTAATACGATTTGAAAATGGTGTGACAATCTGAGTAGCAGCTAACATTTTTATATTTACTGTAAAACAAACAGACAAAAAATGCACACAAGGTACATTTCTCTAAACTGCACATCTTTTGCAGATTTTTTTCTGAAGCATATTCTTAAATATTAAACAGTGATAATAGTAACTTCCAATGATATACTGTAACACCATAGAATATTAAAACAAAATAGAAATTACAATTTAAAAGCAAAGAGAAGCCAAAATAAGAAAACATTGGATTACTGATATCATTTGTGTGTGTTTGTGTGTCTTAGCGTATTATCCGAGATAAATCTATATAAAGACACAGCAACATAATTAGGGCTTTTAATTTGACAGACTGATTGTATAATAGCTTCTAGCAGAACAATGCCAACACTTTGTCATTAATGGGACAGTTTGATGACTTTATGACTCTCTTATAAACACATGTCACAATTTTAGTTGTCATTTCAAATTTTGACAGTTTTTTTAAAAAATAATTTACCTGAATATTTGGGAAAACACATACCTAAACAAGTTGCTTTTATGTATTTTTCACCTAGAAAATTAAAAACACACACAACAAAGTCCATGCTCAATAATCCAGGTATACAATCCAACAATTTT